TCCATGGTCTCAGCAAGCAGAAGCCTTTCCTGTCGTCTGCTCCTCTAAGCCTTTGAGCGGCAGGTGTCCAGGACTGACCTTCCATAAGCAAGGCATGTACACTAACATCATGTTCCGCATATTCTTCCCCCATAATCCCTTTCTTTCCATGTGGTTCCTATGTTCTTACATTAGCAGAGAGGTGGGGAAGAACTAGAACTGCGTGTTAAGCAGGCCACTCCCTGTACAGGCCCCCGAAGAGTTAAAGATGGAGTTGGCAGCCTTGACTTCTGGTTCTTTTTCGTGCATTTTTCCATAGTCGTTCTTCTAACCCCTTTCATTATTATTCCTATAAATAGTATGTGCTACTATTTCCTGTGAAACAGAATTTTGGCTTAAAAGACTAGTTATTTGGCACCAGCATTAATATGAAACATTAGTACTTATCACTTAGAAAAAGATTTTGAGTTACATTTTTCCCATGGCATGAAGGAAGAACATTGGCTAATGAAGGATAAGAGATGTGTAGTTTTTCTCTCTCTTAATGCCTTTTATGAAATACTAATGATTAAGACATGTTTGACATGCTGTGAAATACATTTTTCTAATGTGAAGTTTCTGCCTATTGTTGGAGATGAGACAAAGTCCCCAGAGAATTTTAGAATTTGTAAATACAAAATTATCTGCCTCCATGGTTCTCTCCCCACACCTCCCATTCTTTTTTAAAAGGCTGGCAGAAAGCCAGATTACTTACATTACTGTAATAGATTTGATGACCCCTGACTTGTGCTGCGGAGAAGTACATTGAATTTTTCATTACATCAGAGGATGCAGAAAGCTAAAAACTCAGAACAGAAGGGACTCTTATTTAATTCAACATTTAGCTGAACAAAATCTCCCCCCCCCCCACCCAAAAGAAAGAGAAAAATAACCACAATTAAATGTAATGGATCCCCGTTGGTACAAAGTCAGGATTAATACAACGCTGGTTTGTTCATTCAACTTGCATTGATTTTTTAAAGTTGTTTTTATTTTATACTTTTTTAAAGGATAATCTTGCTTTTCATAGTCATTGAATTTAATCAGGAGCTCAGTTGATGGCAAATACTTCCCTACTGTTTCTGCTCTGGGCTGGAAAATGTTATTCTTGTATTATTCCAGGGGAAAAAATAGCCCCGTGCTGTTCAGAAATCTGCTGCCTACAGAAGGATTGCTCTTTAATACATGACTGTTTACACATTCTAGTTATGTTAATTGTGCTATAAATAATGCATTCAATTAATCTGAATATATGAATTACACTTACAATAAAGGTGTTGACCAAAAAAATAAAAAAAAGCACCCCCCCAAAAAAAATTCCTGGGTTACATGGAAATGAATCCCCTTGGCTTCCTGCCCCCCTTCCAACTGTAACCATCCAATTCAGACTGGAATCTCTTTGGAGACAGGGACATAAGCCCCATGTAGGAAACTCTTCAAAGAAGTGATGCATTTTGCTGCATATTGATGGCACTGTAACCATCACCCTTAATTGTTAGGCTTGCATGCATGTCATCTCCTCCATTCTGCAAAATTGCTTCTTAGGAATCCTTACATCTTGTGAAATAAAAATCTTTTTCAAATCTAATCTGATTTTTTGTGGTGGGAGTGTGGTTTTGAGTTTCTGTGAATTCCAGGTCCTTTTTCTACTGTTATTTGTGAAATGCCTCCTCTTCTCTCAAGCAGGGGTTGATCAAAATCTTCTGCTGAGTGACTATTTAATACAAAATCAAGTTGCTAATTTCAGGTATGTTGCATTCTGTGGAGGTATTTCTAAAGCAGGGAGCCACATTCTTCCTGTCTTAGGCAATATTGACCTTCAGTTGACTAAATATACACTCTCTCTGTGTGTGATGTTTTAATAGTACACTAGCTGAAGGTTTGAATGTTTCATGAGCTTTATTACTCTTGTACTATTACAGCTTCTCATAATCAAATGATAAGATCACATCCTGTGGGCAATTACGTCGTACAGTGACAGGACAAGTGAAGAGAAAAAATTCTCGCAAAGGCAAACTGCTCCGTCAAGTTGCAATTGTTCATGGTGTTAGGCTTCATTTTAATCCTTCCAAGCGCTACGGTGTTTGGTGCATGTTCGCTGAGGCTTTGCTTTAAAAGCAGCCCACCCCCTCATCGCTGGGGAGAAGTAGCACTGCATCAACGTTTTATGGAAAAGGAAGAAGGGAGTTATTGCGTTAGAACAAGCCATCCTTGTGTTTTGATTCGGTTTTTACCTTAGTCATGCCTCTCTCCAGATACAAGAAACATTTAATTCCAGATTTCCTGCTGTTGGCGCTAGGCCTTCGACCAGCTATGCGAAATGTATTTTTGCCACTGTACCTCTGCCAACTGCTGAGCTCAGTGAAAAATGACTAAAATGGAAACATACACCTAGCGTTGAACTCTCTTCAGCCCCAATTCCTAATTATCCCTAGACCTAATGAGTTCTAGGGGTTTATATGGCAACAAAGAGGTAGAATTGTTAGGGTTGTTTTTGTTTGTTGTTTGTTTTTCTGGGTTTTGGTTTTGGTTTGGTGGTCAAAATTTGAAAGTGCCATAAAACCTTCCTTGGAAAGAGTGGTAACAGTTATTAATCTTGTCAAGTCTGGCCCTGTTCCTACTTTAACTGTGAGGGTAATCACACAGAATATTTTATTAAAAGGGTTAGTGATGGTTTAGTACCATCCTCTAATTTAAAGCTATGAGCTGCTTTTGAAACATTTACCAATGGAATATGTAGATTTCAAATGGGCTGCATGTTCCCATGGCAACCAAACAAAGTCAAACAATCCTTTCTGCAGTGCTAACAACTATTGCCACAAAAAATGTATTTTGGTTAAATCTGATTCTTTAAATATTTAACACATGGCAGAAAAGATATAAATATTGCTCTGGATGAAACCCAACCTCGCCTCCTTTGCTTACAGTCCCAGGCACAGGAAGATGTTCAAGTGTGCCTTGAATATTTTGTGCTTGTTACAAATGAAATTTAGCAGCCTCAAGTATGAACAAGATTGTATTTCTCCCCCCTCCTCTTATTCTGCCTTGTTATGCTTCTTTTTTATTACATAAACATTAACTGTAATGTTACAGTGGGAAGCAAGTATTTGGCAAAGTCCATATTATTTTGCTAAGCCTGCATAGAGAGAACCGTTTTCAGTTTTAGCAGCTGTAACATGTTTAAACTCAGTTTGTAATGGGATCTGAAGACCAATATTCCCGGTGGGCATTGCTTAGCTTCATTACTGGCCTGCTGCCAAATTCAAGGCTCAAAAGTATTATTCACGCTTCTCTGCGCATACCCATGTCAGAGCATGCTCAGTTAATGAATTTTGTTTCTAATATGGCATAAATTAGGTTTATATTTTAACATAATTTATGTTGTATTTTATTAAAATGTGAAATACTATCATCGCCAGCAAGCTAATCCCAGCTTTCTTGAAGCCAAACTGTGTTTGAACATCTAAATCAAAACTGCATGGCTCAAAGCTGTTCTGGAATAACAAAACAAAGATCCATGTCTGAGCAAAAGAGCTTTCTTCCTTAAACTCTCAGATTAAGGTATAATTAAGGAAGTCTCATAACTGACCAGATGAATGCTGTTTAACAGGCAAATTATACTTTCTTCACAGATAACCCCAACAAAAATACGCTTGTCACATAAAAGTGTACATTTTAAAAAGTCACAGTCTTGCATTACTCGTGTGATGAGTCACTCATTAATCATGTTGAATGCATTTTAAAAACTTGAATCACTGATACTAAAACTCTGATGTTAATGTTATCCATGCCTTTTAATAACATGGGTGATTTTTTCCTTTTTGGGTCAGGAGCCACATTGTGGAGGGAAAATTGATTGAAGTGTTTCTTATTGTTGTTCTCTTCTAAAGCAATTGTGCACACTTCGGAAGACAAAGTTCTGCAATTAAAAGTCTTTGATTTAAAAAACAAACAAAAACCTTCCCTGAACCATGCCCACTGCGCCAGCTCCCTCCTGCTAGAAATTGCTTTCCTCTCTTGATTCTTTCCCCAGAGAAAGGGAATTCTCTCACCCATAAAATGTGCCCCCCATGACACGGCAGTTTTCCATAAAGAGGAAATACATGCTAGTAAAAAAAAAAGACCATATTCTATTTTTGTTTTGTTTTGATAGAATCATATCTTCTCCAGTGGATAGTGCAGGTGAATTCCTGATGACCCTTTCAGTAAAGTAGTCCCACATTATAGCAGTTCTGAGCAGTCAGGATTCCATGCAGTAACTGCAGGTGCCATCGTATGCATGGGTACTTGGGGCTGGGATCCTTCTCCACACTATCCCATGGAAACCATCCCCAACCCTATCTGCTGTACTTGTTTCCATGGTTTTTACATATCACTAAATAGTATGTTCACCTTGTTGATGTTAAAAAAACGGAACGGTAGTACTAGATGTTGAAGAGATCAAGAGTCATTGACTGAGAGAATGGGTGGGGAGCCCTATTACCACCTCTCTTTTGGGGACAGGTTCAGGGATCCAGGATCCGAGTCAAACTTGACCCAATTGGAGGCCCCAAAACTCACACACTTCTCTTCTAAGATGTTCCTTGGGATTTTCAGTTTATGTATAGCTGTGATTATTTACTGTTTGTACTTCCAGGATGTCCATGGAAATGATTATCAATCGCTGTTCTAGCTCTGGTTCACACATAACATTAAACCACAGATGAATTCTAAGGTTTATTTAGCCATTCCCACCTGGGCAGCATCCATGACAGAAAGGATTATCATGATGTGCAATTCAGGGCAATAATTCATTTGGGAATGGGAAAAGCTCCTAGTTTCTAATGCACATCTCTGACTTTATCATTCATACCTATGTTTTTACAAGAAGGAGGTTTTTAATAATGAATTTCTTATAGATTATACCTGCTTTGTTTGTTTGTTTATTTGTTTTTGTTCGGTTGGTGAGAACCTCTAGAACTGATCCGTTGCTTGTTCTTTAGATTAATCCTGCCATATGAAAGATTTATTAAAGGAGAGGAAGATAAACCACTACCTCCCGTGAAGCCTCGAAAACAAGATAATGTCGCTCAGGAGGGGGAAAGTAAGATAAAATTGTCTGGAACAAAACGTATCAAAAATGAAAACCAAAAAATCAAGAAAGAAAAAGACAATACACAGAAATCCCAAGATGCACCTGAGGTTAGTTTCACTTTCCTTTTATTTTCTTAATCTTTTTCATTCCTTATTATTAACTTAAGGTTTATACAGTGCTGCTTTGATCATATAATGTTCAGAAATCTTGGGAAGCAGAGCTCTCTAAAAGGAATTCTCTTTTATGGCCAGTCCACATGATGTCTGTTTTTACTGTTGTTATTAATATAATTGATGGATTGATTTTTTTCTGATAGGAAGTGTTACATGTGCATCCCAATATGTAGCAGTATAGGATGCCACTTTCAAAATAAACTTATTTCTGGAAAGACTGAGTTGGTGCTATTCAAGTATCTAGTAATATGCAAATAAGTGTTTGAATGTTCAGTGTACTTGTGTGTTTTTTAAACACCTGAGTTAGAAAGGAGGTCCCATGCGCGGCCCATGTGCTCCCTGCAAGAGGGCCACCTCAGACCATTGCTCCAGCAAGCGGACGGACGGGCCAAATGTGGCTGCTGCCGCTGGAGGTGGCACAGCACAATGCCCTGTCGCTGGTGAGAGCCCAATGCCACGGTTGGGCACCAGAAGGCTACATGCTGGCAGGGAAGACAGGACTAAACAGCCAATCAGAGTGCAGTTGCAGCTGCCTCACTAGTTGCTAGACAGAACAGGACGGCGAAAAATGGAGGCTGGCGTGTCTGCAGCTTGTGAAAACAGCACACAAACATTGTGAGACAAGCAACGATGCAGAGTGGAAACCTTACAACAGAGCATGGAGTATCTGTGGGGGTTTCATGGAAACCAAGCCTGCCATGCTTCCCCTTGGATGTTGGATTCATACAAACAAAAAGCCCTGCCCACACAGTTTCCAGCATGGCTTGTCCTTATGTGTGAATACAGGCACCTGGCTAGTATTGATTAGTGGGCTGACTAAACCCAGACGTACAACTACTTTGCCACAGGAAAATTACTGGCACCATTTGCTGATTGTTTCCTAGGGATCACTCCCAGTTTTTAGAGCTCATGAACAAGCAGGGCTGTGTCACTCCCCCTCTGCTGACCATCCACCAAAGACCTTTTATTGAAGCTGGTCTTCAGCATGTTAGCACATCTGTTGGGTTGGATGTTGTCACAATTCTGTTGTTGTTTTACGTTTAATGCATTTTTATTGTTTTAATCAAGTTCTGATTGCCATTGTAAGCTGCCTTTTTTGGTAGAAAGGCAGATTACAAATTAAATAATAAATGAACTGCAAATTGTCACATTACAGGCATCTCTACTGGCTTGTTTTCATGACAAATAAGTTTGTAATTTTGCCTTATGGAGACACTATCATAAAAATTATTGTATCTTATTGCACTAATGGTGGGGGTGGTGAGAGAGAAGCTTACTAAATCATAAAGTTAAACTATGGTGAAACCATGTGGTGGGATACAGACAGGATTATGGATGGGGGCAGTTGCAGAAAGAACACACATTTGTTGAAGGTACATGAAGGGGAGAATGGTGGTTTGGAGAATAAATTTTGCATAGTTAGGACTGGCACAGTTTTTGCAATTGATCAGTTGGAGTGGGCTTTGTTCTACTTTTTAATGTAATTGTGAAGCAAGAGACGTTGAGAAAAGGTACTATCTTGATTAAAATACACATAAAAGAGGGCAGACAGATCTGCTTAAGCAACTGCCAGATTGCAACAGAAATTGCCAAAACTAAGGAAATACAAAGTTAAGCCTGCATTCCTTTCCTCGTTCATCCCTTTGTGGCTTGTTATTTATTGCTGGAGGTTTGGATCAGCGAGTTATGTTACATACCATATGTGCTACAATAGCTAAGCATAGCGTAACAAGCTAGCGATGGAGTGTCAATCTAAACTTTGAACTTCCTTGCTTTTGTTGTTTGGTATCTCAAATTTCCTCTCCCTTAAACGGCAGTTATTTTTTATATGAGTCACAGGTCAAGTTCTTAGAGGGAGAGTGGAAAGTGCGTAACTCAAAATGCAATTATGTGAGCTTACTACAGCAAAAACATAATCATATAATTCTTTCTCCTGTCAGAATGTGTAATGTGAATGTTTCTAATATCAAATTCTCCCAAATTCATCAAGAACCTTACAAAGCATTTGATTGTTGCAAAATCAGTTTTCCTCTGCTCCAAAAATACATTCCTAGTTCTCTTGTTTATGAAAACCCCATGTAAACATCATTATATTTTCATTATGCCTTTTAGTTTTAGAAACTGTATTTCCAAACCTAAAATATTTTCTGTTTTAAATATTTTAAATACCTTTAAAAATAAATGTTGAGATTTGGGGCAGTGGGACTGGCATTCCAACAACAGTTCAAATTATGTTTGTTTATACAAAAGTATGGGCTTTATACAGAAATCTGCAATCCTGTGAACCAGATTCTTTTTGCAGTTGCTGGGCTTGGTATACCAAAGACAGGGAAGAAGTTCCAGATGTGTGTCCTTTATAGCTGGTCCTTGTTAGTTTGTCAGGTTTTTAAAGACAACAGGTACAAGCTGGCAAAAGTCAGCTGCAAGTTGCTAAGTCTCATGGCAATCAATGAAATTTAGTCCTAAGTATAGCCTGCTTGGGACTGCAGGTGGGGCAGTGGTTTAAACTGCTGTGCTGCTGGGCTAGTTGATTGAAAGGTCGCCGGTTCGAATCTGCACAACGGGGTGAGTTCCCTTTGCTCCGTCCCAGCTCCTGCCAACCTTGCAGTTCGAAAGCATGCAAATGCAAGTAGATAAAAAGGCACCACTTCGTTGGGCAGGTAACAGCGTTCCGTGCACTTCGGTGTTCAGTCATGCCGGCCACATGACCACGGAGACTGTCTGCGGACAAACGCTGGCTCCCTCGGCTAGGAAACGGAGATGGGCACCACCCCCTGGAGTCAGACATGACTGGACTTAATGTCACGGGGAAACCTTTACCTTTGTAGCCTACTTAATGCTTTCAAGGATCTTCATTTGAGCTACCTTTTATGGAATTGTCTCCATAACTATGTGCAAGGCATACCAATCTCTTGCCTCAAAATACCCATTAAACATAAAACACGTTTAAAAATAATGTAGGCCATGATGCAGTGGCTATCTCTCTTTTCCCCTGCAGACGATCTATGTTAAGCCCTCCCACCAAAATGGCAGCAGCCCTGCAGCTCCTCCCGTCTTTGTCCCCTTCCAAGTACAGCACCCAGGCAGAGCGGTGCCACAGGCTGTGTTTCTGTGTGTCTTGCCTCGTGCTCTTGTGTTTTGTGGTTCTTGTGACATCAGCCGAGGGGCTTAATCACAGGGAGAGAGCTTTGAATTAGGGTGCCCCCTGCCCCCTCGTAAGCCTGCCCAACGAGGGTTTCTGTCGCATGGCTGCGTGCTTTTCATCTTTGCGTTTTGCTTTGTGGTCCCTGGTTGCTCTTCCATGAGGGCTTGTGCACTGCTGTGCTCCGGCCCAGCTGCAGGTGATCCCGGGCGGGAGCACCGAGGAGGGAAGCGTTGCGCCGAGTGCCACCTGTCGCTCTTGCAACAGGTTGGATATCTACGAAACATGGAATTGCTTTCCAGCTCATGATTCTGTCATCCTGGGAAAATATATAGCTGGTTAAGAACTTAATGTTCTCATGAACATTTACTAGGACTGTCACCTGATTAAAAACATCTCATTCACAAGAGGGAATGCCTTTCACGGAGCTAATGTCTGCTGTAACATGTGCAGACATCATCTAGAAACAAAGGCAGTGCGCTTTTTTCCTTTCGAAACATAGCACACTTATGCAGATTTAAATGAATAATTAATCAGTTGATTAATAATTACCATGTTAATATAATACTGCCTGATTAGTCAAGGACTTTTTTTAACCTTCACATCTAACCTAGCAGTTTCGCTCCAGAGAACCCCAGATGTTAGAATACAGTTCCCATCACTTATGGCCATTTGGGCATGTTGGCTGGGGATGATAAGATTCATAGTGCAGGAGACACAGGATTGGAGAAGTCTGAAAAAATGATCAACTGAAATTACGGTCTTTCCATTTATGGGGGAATGCGTATCACTGTGACCCCATAATACATCTGACTTCCATGCAAGCCTTATAAAATTAAAAATTTCTTTGTAGTCTATTTGGAAGCTGGACACATGTATTGATAATAGCTATATATGTGCCCAGGAATTACTTTCATATCTTGTAAATGTCTGATTGGGTAAGCCTGTTTTAAAAACTGACCAGCTGCAACCCTGTCAGAAGCCCTCTTCCTCCATCAAAACAGCCTGAGAGTTGCTAAGGTGGAGAACGTCGTAAGGCCCACTGTATGCCCCAAAATAACCACCCTTCCCTCTTGTAATAGTCTGACTTGGGGCTTCATGTTTCTACAGACACTGGGATCATTCCTACATCAACGTTTCTTGTGAACGTATCCTCCAAGTGATAGCTTTTCACATCCTGAAAAAGATGCTGTCAAGGGCTTTTCAGAACAAAATAACTCACATTTTCAATATGAATGCTGAAGGCAAAAGTCATCATCTAAGGACCCTTCTATTACCTCGAAAATGATTATGTGAATAGGCCATTAATTGGTTATTATTCAGTGTTTCAATTGACTCTATGTTGTTGTTATGACTGTAACTGGGTACAAAATGACACATTATTATTCCTACCATACGTACTGCTCTTAATCCAGCTAAAAACTCAAATCAAAGTGTTTCCCAACAGAAGAAAGATCAGGACATCCAGTTATTAAATATGAGTTTTTCTCCGTCTGCTTTACTCATCTGTCTGGTATTTTCCTGTAATCGTATAAGCTCTAGAGGCCAATGGTAGAATTTTTGCAAAAGGGCTAATGATTGTATTTGGACTGCAAAATGCATCTTTGAGTTTGAGTTTCTTTGCGGAAAAAATTATGGAAGCAGTCACAATGAGTAACAGACACTTTAACTAATAGGAAATAGAAAAACCCAACACACGGGAAAATTTAAAAGCAGCTGTAAAGACATAAATCTTGGAAGGGATGGAGATTCATTGGCTGCCTTAAATCCATCTCTCACACGACACTCTCTAATGCAGCATTTAGATAATAACTTTCCTGATGCCTCCTCTTTATGGCAAAGAAAGAAGGGAAAAGAAAGAGAGACAGGAAAAGAACAATAATAATAGAAAGGCTTAGACAATGCTTCTGCTCGATGACTGCCTCCTACCAAGAGGCATGCCGGGGAGAATGACAGTAATTTTGAAAAGGCTTGTCAGTCGGCTGTATCATACGCAGAGCACTGAGATGACCTCCCAGGTCACAGTTCATTCGTCTACATAATGGAATGAATAGCAAGAATGGAGTGCACAAGCTTTATTAATGAAGGAGCAGAAAGGGATGCCGTCTCACTGGCTGTAACAGGACAGCTATATCTGGAAGAAGGCAAAAATGCTTTGCTGCATGTTGACAACTTTATTCTAATCTCTAAATAAAAAGAGGCCCCAGCTGAGCTGCACCGCTGATGGTTCAGAAGGCATCAGCAATGGCTCGCCTCCCCGCCTCCCGCTGACATATTTTTAAATATTTTAATACGGATGATTCATTTTGGTGGCCGCTCTTTTTAGCACTGCCACAAGACAGGATCTAAAAGAGAGATAAAAAGAGTCAAGTTAACAACATGTGTGTGTGTACATGTGGTTTGTATCTTCTTCAGATACACTGTGAACATGGAATGTGTGCCTCAATTAAAAGATGGCATCTGCATAAATGCTACCCGATCAGCGTATCAGTGGAACCTATTTTATGGGGTCTTATTACATTTAAAAAGGCTTATTGTGGCATGTTAATATTTCCATAATATATATGTGTATGTTTAAATTTGAGAGTGGTTGCTAAAACGTTCAGATATCAGAATGACAATTGACGCATGTAATTCCAAGCAGTGTCACTATCTGCCATGTGTGGATTTAGAGGAGTTTTAGTCTTGCAATTCTTCTCATAGTTGTCCATTGAAATGTTTTACTAGGTTTCATCAGAACAAGAGCAGGCTCAAGAATGTACAACAGACCAGAAAAGCTTGACTGAATTAACGGTGGAAGAGGAGATGAAACTATCTGTAGAAGGACCCCAGGTTTCCCTGCTGGACACAACTGGGACGACGTCTTTGGAAAAGATGGACTTCAAGGAAGCGTGCTCAAATGTTGAGGAAGTCAAAGAGGAGGAGATGCCATCCATAGTGTCTTTTTCAAGTGCTTTGGTGCCCCCAGAAGAGAATGCTGTCTTGGATTCTGCAGTTGGAAGACTACCCAGTCCGTCAGAAGACCAAGATGAGCCAAAGCAGGAAGAAAGAGCACCTTGTTTTACAGACAGTTTAGAAAGCGAGGCCCATGAAGTTCCATTTAATAGCTTCTCCACCATCCAACTGCCACTGCCAAGTCCAAGTAAGATGGGGGATGACAAGCTCCCAGAGATGGCAGACTACATTGCCAACTGTACTGTTAAAGTGGATCAGTTGGGAAACGAGGACATACACAATGCACTGAAACAGAGCCCCAAAGTCCTTGTCGTGCAGAATTTTGACATGTTCAAAGAGCAGGAACCACCAAGTTCCCTTAATGGGGACCCCAGTTTTGGTTACACACCACTCCTCTACTCCAAAGGCAACCCAGGCATCATGTCGCCCCTGGCAAAGAAGAAGCTCCTGTCCCAGGTCAGTGGGGCAACCCTCTCGTGCAGCTATCCCTATGGCTCACCCCCACCACTGATCAGCAAGAAGAAATTAAGCGGCAAAGACGACCTCTTGTCGAACATGCCCCAGGCCTCGCATGCCCCTCTGATGGACACCGTGGCAGTCAGCAGGCCCTCGGTGATCCAGCACGTGCAGAGTTTTAAACCCAAGAGTTCAGAGGAAAGGAAGCCCACTCTCGAAACCTATAGGCACGAGTCGCTGCTCAAGAAAGCAGATTCAGGATGTTGTGACTTTTCCAAGCAACACCTGAGCACTCTGGCTGAATCCTATGCACTGAAGTCAGAGATCCAAGACATGAAAGAGCGAATGAGCGAGAAACGGGCCCTGCACCACTCCCACATGCCCAGCTTCCTGGCAGACTTTTACTCATCTCCTCACCTGCACAGCCTTTATAGGCAAACTGAACATCACCTTAATAATGAGCAGGTATCAAAGTACCTCCCACGAGACATGTATAGAGATACAGAGAACATTTCCATGTTCCCTCAGCACAAGCACCATGACAAACGCAACTTAGCCTATCACCCCCCTTTGCACCAGCAAGAGAAAAAGAGTCCCATGGAAGCCTCTTCTGATGATCAGCCAACTGATCTCAGTCTTCCAAAAAGCACTCACAAACAGACTGCCAAAGTGCTAGGATCTTCCCTCTTGCATGCTTCAGTGGGACAGCCAGAGAGCAAAACCCTTTCCCAGTTCCAGACCTTGACCGGCACCCCTCTAAGCTTAGACTGTCACCCCAAAGCTTGCCGTGTTTCTCCCATGACGGTGGCAGCCCCCAAGAAGCATGGCGAGTCCCTTGTAAGGTCCAGCAAGCAGCAGAGCCTGAGGAAGATGGAAGGCATGGTCCACCCCATCCTAAGCCACAAAAACAACGCTCAGACTGTTGGGGCAGCTCGGCCTCTGAAGCGCAGCCTGGAGGATTTGGACAAAACCATGTCAGAAAAGAAGATCCGTGCTGTCTCGCCCCTTCGCTTGCCAAAGGAAGCCCCTGCGAAAGACAAGAGCCTCGAGCAAGAGGCAGAGGGCAGCAAGCCGGTGCCTGGCCTGCCCCCCGGGGGCATGCTGGAAGGCCACAAATTCCCCCTCTCAAGCCCCATCTTCACAGGGTTGTACCCAGGGACTTTGTGCAACCGCATCCCCACCGGGTACTCTCATCCTTTGCAGTACTTGAAAAACCAGACTGTGCTTTCTCCGCTCATGCAGCCTTTGGCTCTCCATTCATTCGTGGTGCAAAGACAATTTCTAACGTCCCCTGGAAATTCACAGCAGCTTTACAGGCATTTAGCTGCGGCAACCCCTGTAGGTAGTTCGTACGGTGATCTTTTGCACAACAATATTTATCCTTTGGCTGCTCTCAATCCTCAGGCTGCTTTCCCACCTTCTCAGCTGTCTTCTGTACATCCAAGCACAAAACTGTAGACCCTCCCCAATGACAACAAACAAACTACATTCCTTTAGCCTGTGGCGTCTTGCAAAATTTAACGCAAACACAAAATCTTTGTGCTAACCAATAAGCAGTTTAGTCCCTCATTGGTGAATGCTTCAGCTGTGAGTGAGATGAGACTGTGGTTCAGCTGGGCTTTGTATTTCACTTATGGCTCCCCGTCTACTCCTTCCAGGGCCATCTTGCATGAAAGGGTTTTGAAAGGACCCGTATCTTCCCAAAAAGAAATGTCAGAGCAGGTCAGGAGGCAAGTCAGGCTTTGTTGCTGGCCTCCCCTACCCCTATCACAAACATTGTGCGTTCTGGAGCACTTCAGACTGAAAAAGAAGCAGGTCTGAGGAAAAAGAAGGTAGGACATCCCATGCTCTTTAGATGTTACTTTTTCAAGTACCATTCTGGTTCCCGACTTTTCAGAATTCAGATCAATGCAGTGTACAGTGAAACTGCATCGTTTTAGCTTAACACTATCAAAACAGAAAAAATAAAGTTAACTTAGATGGTACATATCTACTTCAGAAACAAAACAAAATTGATTTGTGTCAAGTTCATCCAGTTCTGTTCTGGTGTAAGTTCTTGTTTCCAACTTGTCCCATGTGCTGTTTTTTATTTTAAAGAGGCTCTATTCATCTGCTACATCTTTTTCCTGAAAGAAAAAAGGGTTCTGGCTGTTGAGGGGCTTTTAAAATTTGCATCTAAGGTTGCTGTTCTTTTCATTGCTGTTTATTTTTAAGAGCAGCTTCTTGGAGTGGGGACAATGTCATTGTTTACAAAGCAAACACATCCATTCTCAGTGAACCTTTCTGATGGATAGACGCATACTGTAAATTGTGCGATGGTGCAGCTAGGCCTGACATCAGCTCCTTCTCCAGCAGCCGGATCCTGAAAGGTGCTGAACCCTTTGCCTTACCCATCTGAACGGTTCCCTTGTCGTACGGACGTTGCTGTTTTCCAGGCTGCTGAGATTTGCCTTTCCTGTCTCATGGGCTGTGAATTTGTTAAGAATTGTACTTAACCTTATCTAGGCTGTGAAACTGTCCTACATACCAGAGAGGGAACATGTTGAGGTCTGCACTGGCAACAAGTTACTCAATAACATTGGCGTCTAGAGGACCTTTCATGTGGGCTCTGAAGCTATTTCAAGAATGTCAGCCATCAGAAGAGAAAGGGAGGGCAGTATTTTAGTTAGAGGGGGCCTGTGCTGACGCTCGAGGATGGCTGCCCTTCAAGAGAAGTTGAACGACACGGGACAGTGCCGAATCGGTAGAGCTGATCAGGGGCAGCTTTGGCCTTGAGAACCGCTTGCGCTCTTCGGCTGGTGGTTCCCTGCAGTATGTCTGTCCCACAAAGCCTTTGAGCTTCTCATGTCATCCCCACAACCTCCTTTAAATGTGTGGTTTAGTATTAAACATAATGGCAGCTTAATCGACAAGCCACTTAAGCCAGAGTAATTAGCTTTTGACTCAACCAATGTTCCAGAACAATCATTTTCATTATTACTGTCATTACATTACATTTCTATCCCTCTTTTTTCCCCTCTTGCAAGGGACCCAGGGGAACTTTTAAGCCTGAGCATCCTTGCAGGCTCTGATGAGAGTTTTCCTGCTGAAAGCTCAAATGGTCTTGAGACCGTTATTTCACTGGAACAGCCTTGAGCACTCAGTTCATTGCAGGATCAGGACCAGCTACTGAATTTGAAGGAGACTCTAAAGCAAAGCCTTCGGTGGGGGTGGGGGGGGGGACCAAGCAGACTTACTGGCCTATTCCCCTTTCACATGGAGAAAGGGCACTTTTACCAAGTGCATGCGCACACACACACACAGTGTGAACTGTAGGAGTTAGGAGCCCTCAATTTTTTTGGATCTCAGCCGGCTTCTCTCTCTCAGTTGCTGTTGTCTTGACTTGTGCATGAACACCTAAACTGCAGAAAGGGAGATTTTTTTGCCCCCTCTGGGGTGGCAGTAGTGTGGGAGAGGAGCTCAAGCAATGGCTGGCAGATCCGTCTGCTTCACAGTCAGTCTTAGTTTTGCATGTGTTCATTCATAAGGCATGTCTGTTCCATTCCGGCATTGAATTGATTAAAAAAGACCTGTAAAAAAATTAAATACATATTTTTAAACACATTTTGTCAGAAAATACGCATTTTTCCCAAAGTGCACTCCTCTAAAGCCCTTTTATCCACAAATATGCCTTTTGTATGTATTGCTTGAGCCAAGAACTGCATCACAAAAATTGGAGAAGCAGGATAACAGTGTTCTAATCCGCACATCTGCCCACAAGATGCGGATCAGGTCAGTTCAGATTGGACTTTGGAGAGAATGGATTCCTCTGGCAACCCTCGGTCAAAGAGCTCTTGGCCTGTGCTCTGGAGTAAACAGCTGACAGCATAATCAGAGGATGCTTCTGCTGAACCATTTTGTGTTGCCCACAGTGGGGAGAGGAATATTGGGTCCTCGTGCCAATAAGAGAAAATGGCTGAGTGCACAGAGGTAAATCAGAGTTGCAGTTAGGGGCTCTTTTGGAGGCCACGGAGGAAGTGCCCACTTCCAAAAAAGAAAAGGAAATTCCCTGGGACCATGTTCAGCCCCCATACCATGGGTTCATTTACTGTCATGTAATGCGAAGGTAGGTAGAAGTTAGATCTCCAGAGATGTTGGACTTCAGCTCCCAGAGGCCCCTGCCAGCATGGCCAATGAGCAGGACTGCTGGGAGACTGCAGTCTAAAATGCCTGGAGATCGGCTGTTCGCCCACCCTTGTTAGGGTGCACCAGTACAATGGGCATTTCCGATCAGATTCCCATTGTGTTGACACAGTTGAGAGCTCAAGTCAAAGAAACAGCAGCAGCTTGCCCTGGCAGTAACCTGATACAGAGCGTGAAGAAACGGGACGTGTCAATGGAGGCTGTAGATGCTGGTCTCTCAGAGCATCCAAGGCCACCTGGTGTGCGCAGGCCGCCTTGGTCCCGGAGGCCCTTGTGGCTGGCCATGCAACATGGTTGTGAACTGCTGGTGCAGGGTAAACCCAGCTCAGCAGGAGTTGTGTGGGCGTTTACAAGAGGCTGAAATGGACCCCCTTTCCCCACCCACTTGCCAAAGCAAAAAGTCCCACGGAAAAACCATGCTGTGAGGGTGTGATTTTTATTTCTTTTGAGGGACTTCTCCGCCAGGGGCCTTGAAATATGGACAGGTACCCAGAGAGAGGCTGAACTTCGAAGCTTTACAATGTGAACATTGGTTATGATCTGAACCCATCCTAGATTGCAATTCAAATCATCAAAACTACTGGAAACAAGTGGAAACTACTTAATAACACCATGCATGCATGCCAGATAACCTATATTAAAATTTCCTGTGATATGAAGCCAATTGCAATATATAATGTAACCTATTTAATATACAAATCTGGTGAAAATCCAGAATAATAGACATCTACTGTTAAAGATCAATGTTATCTTCAATTAAATGCTTTTATGTTCTCGTGGTAAAACGATATTTACTGATGACGCATAAGCAGGCTAGTAGAATTTAGAGCATAAATGTGCCAATGGAGATCGTGTTTTTCTGCTGTGCTCCAAACATCAAACAAAAGAACAGTCACAATCCCAGTTGCTCAGATGCCACAGAAGGCATTGTTAGCAAAATTGCACTAAACCTGGCTGATGTAATCGTCAAGATTGGGGAGCGGGGGAATGGATGTTGGCAGGATTCTAGCAGCCTGCTTGCCCATGAACAGGATCACGTGCAGGGTACCAGGGAATGCGGTGCATCCCTGCTTCAGTCAGGATAATCTGCATGTAGGGTTGTCTGATACCTCTTGTCTGATGGGATATTCCTTGTTTTAAAAGGACTGTCCCTTGTTTTAGAACAGCACAGCTCCATAAAGCCTACACACCCTTACCAAGCAATCCGCTGGTTTCTTCGGAGAGGTACGCTGACCATCTACCCACTTCCCCTTCTCTGGAGAGGCTAGCATTGTGCAGCCCCTTTGCCCCCAATCCACCAAAATCACCAGCTTGATGTGCAGATGAGGGGGCGGGACTAGAATGAGCCTTATTTTTACAAGTTTGTTCTGGTATCTCATAATCCGTTAAGTCTTAACCTCATGTATTTATTTTGCACAAGTCCCATTTCAATTTTATTGCTTTGCTTAGGAAATGGTTAAGACTGTCCTAAAACATCACAATGCAGGGGTAATTAATTTTTCCCTTCCTTTGTTCCATAGAAATCTAGACTTTTTAAAAGAGAAAGTTCGTGATAAACTGGTCAAGTTGAGGGCAGATGAAGAGCAATGAGGCCAAAAAAAACCCACCACCAAAAACTAGGGGGCTGAGTATCTAAGAACTTCCTTTTTTAAAAGAAAGATCCATGATTTCCATTAAGGATAAAATTTTCCACTGGCCGATAACTATTTTCAATGTCTGAAATGGGGCTTTGTTTGAGTTCAAGGGGCCTTATTATTGAATGAAATTGCACAAGTTTTTCTTTGTGCAATCAAGCTATTGTTATTGGTAGGTTGGTAAAGGAAACGGTGGAATCTAATTGGCAACAGAGTAATAAATCTATTTACCAAGAGCTGGTTCCAAGAAATGTTGCAATTCCAACTCACTCTGTTCAGGATTTATTAAAGATTCTGAAGGCTGGGGAGATTAAAGACAAAGAAAACCATTTTTCATATAATGTCTTGTTAGAAAATACTCACTTTGGTGGCAATGGGGGCGATTGTGGGGGTTTTGCAGCTGGATTCTCACTTCAATCCTCAGAACAGATAAAGGAATTTGCTGTTTTAATCAAAGCCCCAAATGAAGTTAAGACACTTCCCCAGCTTATGAACTGCTGCATGAATCGTTAAACATGCAGGGCACAAGCCAGCAACCACGACCCAGGGCCTGTGTAATGCTTTATCTGGAGTAATGTGTTGGTTGCTGCCACATCACTCAGGGCCGTGTCTTCATGGACAAGAGGATCCAAGAAGCGTTTGTTGTGATTTTGGCCCTGTTTTGATCTGATTTGGATAGCAGGGTAGCATGGTTGCAGCTACATTACTCAGAAAGCACTGGCCTGTAGGTTAACAGGGGTGTCCTGGAATGCATAATCTTGTACAATCCAGACTGACTCAGTGGACGTCACTGGACGTCATAGGTATGACTTGAGAGCCACGCTGCCCCATGCCAGCGAAAAGGGGGAGCAAGCCCCTTCTAAAATCTCCTTGGAGAACGTCTTCAGCTCAGATTCTGTCCTATGCTGATATGTAGGCTAATGGAAGCTGGCATGTGGCTTCAGAAACGCTGGGGATTAGATCCAGATATAGTCATACATTGAATAGACCCATTGGCATCAGGGGGGTTTAAGTTAGCCATGGCAACTGAAGCCCCATTGATTCCAGTGGGTCTGCTCTCAGTGCGGTGAAATGCACATTCAGCCTTTGATGTGAGGTGTGCCTTTAAAGGGAGAGGGCGATTTTTTTACACCTTCAGTGTTTCACCTTGTTGGAGGGGTGGCTGTGAGCATGCTGAAACCGGGGCCCATTTCACAATGTGTGTCGCTTGTAGTGGGAAAATATTTCACTGACATGAGATGCACAGTATTTAAATTATCATCATAAGGCACTTCTGTGGTGTTTGCTGTAAATGTATTGGATATTCTACATGTATTCCCTCCCCTCCCATAGTTTTACATATGGTCTAACAAATGCCGCATAATCTACTAGCTGTTTATACTTTGTTTGGAAAGTTCCTTTGTTGTAAATAGTGTATACATTCTTGTGATTCAAGTTATTGTAGGTTATATGCTCTGTAAGGTGATTATTTGTATATAGAAAAAATGGCCCAGTAATATTATATAGTTTCCCATTTTTAAAAAAAAATAAAGGGTTATTGAGTAACCTTTCACATTAAATAAGTTTAAACACTACCAGAAAAAAAAGAAAAGCTGAGCCGACTATAAACACTCAATTTTTGTATGTTTTCCAAATTGTATGTATTAATGCTTTTGATACTGTATTATGTGCCAGTAGTTTCCCAATCACATAGCAAGCAAAAGATATTTTGTACTTTTTGATCCACTGTAATATTTAATAAAAAAAAAGTTACTATCTGTCCTCTTTTGTTCTTAATTTTTCCATCAACCCTCTGTTCACCCCATCAAAGGCAAATTCCCTGGACAGAAGCTTTCTCCCCGTGTGCACCTGTACGAAAGAAACGTAACTTCGCACTTTACCACAAGGGAGAATCAGTCTACTTGCTTACACGCAGTTGTCCCTCAGAGGAACAATGAGGACGGCAGGATCCACAGCTTAAAAAAAAATATTGGCCAAGAGAACGCCAATCCTGTGACCAGAAGAATTTTGCATCCTGTATGAATTATGAAAATGTATGTGGGTTTTGTTTTTGTTGCAAAATCTATTATGTACGTCTACTATCTTGCATAGTCTGTCCTACTCATGGCAGCCCAGTCTGCTTGCTTGAGTAGCCAGGGATGCGAAAAAGAGCTTCAGTACTTGCTGTGGACAAGGATAGGCTAGATAGCCTGATTTTGTTGGAGGCATCTTCCTGCCAGTTTCTCACCAGGCACAGCCGACACTTTTTCAAACTAAGAGCACAGTCGTAAGTGTGGTTAGAAAAGAAAAGCGGACAATTCCCAGCATGCCCCAGCAAGCGTGGGTTTGTGCCTGTCTAAAGACACACAGGATTGTGCCATACCTTGCACTGCTGTTGTCTGAAGCAGCATTTCAGGGTTAATCCCCTGTGCTGCCATTCTGCAGACTCTCGGTTCACAATCCCTGTTTTTAAAAAGCAAGCCCCCATTTCCATGTAGAGAAGATTCCTCCCTTCGCATTGACAGGATGAGTTTGCCCATTACTAGATAAAATTGTAGTGTGAAGAGAGGGAGTAGCCTAGGCATGGTTTTCTCAGATGGAATCTAGTAGATGGCATAGATATTATTATTATTATTATTATTATTAATATTATTATTATTAGAACATTTCTATGCCGCCCCTTGCCGAAGCCTCGGGGCGGCTTACAACACAATAAAATACAATACAATACAAAAATAACAATATAAAATTAAAATTAATAATATATATATATATATATATACACACACACACACACACACACACACACACACACACACGATATAAAAGAAGTTATAAAAGAAAAGTTATAAAAGAAAAGAAAAGAAGTCGCCCTGGCCAGATAAATAGAAAGTGATCGGCATTGAGAACATTCGACTGGATAACCAACAAGCAGTTCACAACCCTGGAGGAGTCGACTCATTCTGGGATGGCTCTTGGAGAACATCAGAAGCAACAGATCTCGTTCTAAGATGGAGCTGGCTGCATCCATCGGGTAGAGGGGGCTACGTGTCCACTGCAGTGTGGGCCCTGTGAGGGCGCGCCAGTTTTTCCTGAAGAGCAGCCAAGCGACGGTGACACCAATTCTCCACAATTTCTGTGCAGCAACGTGCCAGTTGCCTGTTGAAATCCAGACGGGGCATTGTGCTTGTGTAGCCCCTGCTCTCCCAAGCTCTGAAATAATGTAGTCAGTCTTGAAAGGGCACTGCAGGCAGTAGGACTGAAGCGGGAGTCCTCTTGATCCACCAGTGATGAAGTCGGGGTTACATAAAAGAGAGAACTGCCTCACACCATGAGCAATCGATGTGCTACATAAAAGAAGATTGGCCAGAATGACGGTCCACTGTCAGATGGCCGTCTAAAATCAAATCCTGCCTTGATCGTAGGCCTTAACAAAAACACATTATTAAAAGTATGAGTTTAAAAGAAATACAACAAAAACCATTCCAACATCTGTAAAATTCAATCAAGAATCACAATAGAGCTTTCTGTTACTATTATGATCATCTGCAACATACCTTTTGATATATTTGTCCGATGCTTTTTCATTTATAAACTATCCCGAAAATGGTTTACAAGATCAGAATAGAAGCCTCTCTGATGAAAAGCAACAGCATCCCATGATACTTCAACAACACTTAGCCATACAATAAGCGTTTCAGTAGGCCAGTAAAATACTTCAGTGCATTCGATGCTATACTACAATTGAACAATCCACTAGGATGTTTAGCTTGCACAGGTTGTCCATGCGAATCATCCCTTGCTTGTGCTTGGCTATGACTATTTAGCATATTTTCTTTACAGATTGTATTGGCAACCTGTATTTCCTCCAAGGAGCTAGATTTGTTAACCTCCCCCATTTTATCTTCACAACAACCCTGTGAGGATGAGAGAGAGTGACTAGGCTCATGTTGCTCAGTGAGCTTCCCGGCAGGTTGCTGAACTGAATCCCTCGCACGGTCGTTCCATTGCTACATGATCCTGAGTCACTGTTTAACTACTGCCCGGTGCTTGCAGAAGAAGAAGAGGCAAAGGAACCATCTTCTGAACACTGCAATGGCGTAATGCCACCCTGGTGGACGCTCTGGGAACAATGAAAGTGGATGTGCTTCTGCAGGCGGTCTCTGTCGGATCATGGCCACTGTACCATGTTAAAAGCCGGCAAAGATAAGCTAGCATGTTTTTGGTGCCTTTCTTTACAAGAGAAAATGCAAACATTTTGCCACAAGATGGCATCGTGTGTGCCCTGTGGACAAAAAAAACAACAGAACAAACCACCTTTGCAAAAAGATTTTGCTTCCTTTGTGAAGCCTATCATTTTTTTTCGGGGACATTTAATTCCCCAGACACATTTTGAAATGTAAAAGATGTCTCCGTCTGGCAAGGACAGTCCGTGTGCAAAAGCAGCAAATGTGTACACATAGCTGCACAACTGTAGATGCACTCCCAAGCCGTGTCTTTCAGGCTTCATTGACCTGAATGGATGCACATTGCCATGCAGAGTGACTTGTTCTGCCCACATCTGGAGCTGGCTTGCAGCCAGAGCCCTTTAAGATCCTTGAATGATAAAAGCCCATCTGAGTTTCCATTAAGGACTAAAAGGCCGCATGCTTGCATTTAAAAGCAGCATTGGAGTGATGCACATACTTTAAAAAGAAACCAAACTCATTTATCTGCCCTGATAATTTTAACAAACCTGTTAAAAAAAAATACTCGGATGGGAGAAAGTTGCTCTTTAAAAATCACAAGCTGTTTGTAGAAAAAGAGGTTGTTTAAGGACCTTGAATGGAATAGAGAGAGAGGTCCTCACTCTGCCTCACACCCACACCTTTGTGGCTACTTAGAAGGAGAGAGATGGTTGGCATTTCTGTTTCGGTAGCTGTTCTCCTGTCCCTAGCCAGGACCTTCAGCGTGTGTCCCCTTCCATGCACTAATTTCAAGATAAAATTCCTGGTCAGTGTTGTTTGGCAACAGAGTGCTATGAATAAGTGAACGTGTGTTCAAGGACCAGCAGCTCCTAATGACAGCATGACAGCCAGAAACCTCTCTTTGTCGACCAGCAGCTCCCAAATGGAGAATGATAATAATTAAAAAAATCTACAACCAGAAACTGCTACAAGTGCAGTTTTGCAAGAGAAAGTCTCCTTTGCCACAGGTTAGGAGCTGACCTAAGATTTCTGCATCAGAAACGCACACAACACCCTCACTGGATTTCAACATTGCAACATGCTTTTGCTGCAGGATTCTGCAAGAAAACTGAGAATGGCCTTGGGCTGGTAACTGTCATTAGGAAAATACATTTTTTAAATTATTCAGTGTAAAAATCTTGGCATTTGGACACTTTGTGCACTAGAACATTCAGTAGCAGAAACAATGTATGTTGGTTGCCACAGTTGTTCTTGCTGCATAAACAAACTCCTTGGAGTCCAAACACTCTGCTGCTGAACCCTCGCTCGCACCACAAAATCAGTTAAGCTCTGAAGCGACAGATAACACTGCAGGCTTCAGGGGCTTGCAGCTGGCCTGTAAATCCTGACATTCGTTTTTTGCAAGCGTTTACCAGTAAATATCAGTTAATGCAAGTAGCCCTGCTTAAGTCCAAGGAGTCATGTGTTTGCTTGAGTCTAACATGGCTCTTAGTATGTCATACTGACCATTGATGGTCTTTCATCTTATAAACATGGATTTAAGCTTGGTTGGAGGGATGCGTAATGCACCCATCACTGTTTTTGTTCTTGGTCAGCAAATGCGCCTGTAAAAGATTTCAAGATTATAGCCAACTCCTGAGAAGGAAGGACTCACTGGAGAAGAGCCTGATGCTGGGAACGATTGACAGCAAAAGGAGAAGGGGACAGCAGAGGATGAGGTGGCTGGACGGAGTCACTGGGGCAGTGAGCGTGGGCTTGGGTGGACTCCGAGCGATGGTGGAGGACAGGAGAACCTGGAGCAATGTTGTCCATGGGGTTGCGATGGGTCGGGCACATCTTTATGACTAGCAACAAATAGCCAACCCCACCCCACCCCACCCCTGGTTGTTTGAGAAATGGGAGGTAGGAATCCCTGGTACCCCAGTAGCAGAACTGGGGCTGCTACTGAAGAAGTATAAAGTGAAGTATTTATGGGCATTTGGGAGGGTGTTCAGAACCCTCCCCTGGAAACTGTTTTTTGAAATCATGGGGAGCGAAGTAACAGTGAGAGAAGGATTTGGTTTCTTTTCACATCTTCCCCTTATGCACAATAAATTGCCTACTCATGAGAACACAAGAAGAGTTCTGCTGGATCGGGTCACAGGCTTGCTTCCAGGAGTATGAAGGGGAGTTGTTCCACATCTTCCAAATAGTACACATCTTTCCATGTTCCTCACCTTACATAAGCATTTTTTAAGGCAGAAAACGCCTGGCATTGTACCCTCTCCTCTTCACAGAATCACTGGTTACGTTAGTTGCCCTCTTCTGTAGTTTTCCAACACTGTAGTGTCTTTTTGAAGATGTGGTGACTGGAACTGTCCACAGTTGGGCTGTTGACTTATATGTATAAGGGTCTTGTGATAATGACAGTGTTTTTTATTGTTGTTTCTTTCCAATGACCCAAGAGATGCAAACAAGTTGGCTGGAAACCACAGCCCTTGCTGTATGCATTGAAGGGGCCGCAAAGAGCTCAGGAATAGCAGAATGAGAGGAAGTGCCGTCCACCCATCATATTGCGTGGTCAGCTGTTCCTGGCAGGGATGGCACGTTGCTTCAGCAGATGCGGAAGGAGACAACTTTCCAGCCAACCCAATGGCTACTCCTTGTTTCAAAGAGGGAGAAATGCAAAATCTTGTATCTGTGGGCTTCTTTACAAAGACTTGGAAAGCAAATGGAGCAGCTTCAAGATTGATAAAAGTCCACTGATGTGGTATAAGCTTAGGTATAAGCAGATGTGAAAAGAAGCCAGATTAACACTGGTTTATCCATCCCTAGTGAAACCTGCTGACAGTTTCAGGATGTCAGTCTGAAGGATGGGCCATAGATCTTGGTATGTTCACGTTCAGCTGTTCAGCCGTGTCCAACCATAAGCGATCCTATGGGCCAAATCTCGCCACATTTGCCCGTCCCGTGGCACCTCTTTCGCTGAACTATGCTCTGGCCCGCACCCTCTTTGATGGCGTCCAACCAGCTCGCTCTTTGGCGGCCCGGTCTTCTTGTGCCACTGAGCATTCCAGGCATTATCTCTTTTTTCTAATGAGCTTGATTGCATGACATGGCCAAAATAAACGAGCCTCAGCTTGCTGCCCTGGGATGTGCCTGGTTCAATATGCTCCAACACCTGCTTGTCCATCACCCCTGCCGTCCACGGAATGCTCAGGAGCCTCCGCCAACTCCACAGCTCGAATCAGTCAGTAAATAAAAGTCACCCCGGATGATCGACAGGGTTAGACATGCAGATATTTCTCAGGGTACACAAGAGACCTACATAAAACAATGGATGTGAAACACGCTTCCTAGGAAGTAAACATCAGAGAACCTACTTCAATACTTGCAGGTAAACATGTCTAATATCAGACTATGTATGTATCAATTAAAGAGCAAGGTTATTTATATACCACAATTCCTTAAAGCACTTGTCTTTCGCTTTCTATTTTCAGGTAACATTTAAAACTATCATATGATTCCAGGTCAATTAACTCAACCACTTGATATGTGCATTGCAGGGGAAGGATTATTTTCTCTGTCATGTAAAGGCCGATGTTGTATTGAGACGTGATGGCATTTCAAGCACATCTTTATGTGGCTCAGACACTGCAATCAAATCAGGCGGATGCTCCTTAAGTACTTTGAAGATCTCAATCAAGAAAATATGGAGGAGAGTGCAGCGGCGGCGGTGGGGGGGGGGTGTGGAATGTTGCTTGACAAACTGCGTCTTGAAATACTTCCTTGTTCAAAGGAAGTATTAGCAATTAAGCAGCAAACCATGCTCTCTCCAGAGGAGGTGGCTGTCAAAAATTTCCTAAAACAAATGCTTGCTTCTTCACTGCAGCCTCGTTTTAGTGAAATATTGTAAACAGAGAAATGGGAAAGAGGCGCATACTTTATAAAACACTGCAGACTTTCAGAAGGAAACAAACCCAGGAAATGTTACATGTAGAGTTATTGGTGTCCCTCTGGCACAAGTAATTAATCCAGAAGGGACTTGTGTGTGTTGACAAAGTACAGTAAGAACTTCACCTGAAAGGAATAAAGTCCTAAGCAAGCATGCATGGAATTGTACTGTAGGCTAATTTCTCATAATTGTTACAATTTGTGGGAAGTAACGCCATCAAGGCTTTTGTGGAAGGGCTGCAGCCATGTGTCATTCCACTAGCATAAAGCTTCTGCTGATGTTTCCGTCCTTGCACAAGGATCAAATCCAATAGATTGGTTCCAGTTGCACAACAGACGCCATTGCACAAAGCTGTTGCACAATCCAGGTACAAGCCAAACTGCAGAGGAGTCATGCCAGTTCGTCACACTAGATGCTGATTGGGCCAATTCTGAGTCTTATCGAACGCTGTGCTAGTGCAAAAGAAACACACGTGTGGGTACTGTTCTGCTAGCAACCGCGATCTAACCTTGCACAATCCCTGCAGGACCACCAGAGAGAGGTGGCTGCCAAAGTGTGTGCACGCTGGTGTGAGCTGGGGAGCAGTGTCCTGTCTTTGGGGGGGGTGTACCCCGAAGCCTGCCCAGCACCTCGTGTGTGTACCCCGAAGCCTGCCCAGCCTGTTGACCTGCATCCAACAGAGGACAAATTCCTGGAGAAAGAGTCTATCCATGGCTACTGTTCTTGAAGGTTTAGTGCCACCTCCAGTATCAGAGCAAACACAGGTGGGAAGGTGCTGTTGCAGCTTGTGCTTCCCAGGATGACTGCTGTGTGAACAAGAATGCCAGAAAAGATGAACCCTTGCTCTGCTCCAGCGGGGTTATGTCCCTACAATGGCCTGTTCTCAGACCGTAGCAACCTGTGAGCCCACTGCCCTTCTGCTTGCTTTCTGGACAGCAAACGGCAGTCACCTTCTAACTTTTGGCTTCTGGCTGTGGGCAAATCCACCAAGGGGTTCGACAAGACTGGAGGTTTTGGCTGGCATTGTTCACCTCTTTCTGGATAAAATTAACCTGCTGATCTTGGGGTTGCCTTTGGCCAAGTTCTATCATGGACTGAGGGGTGGTGGAAGCTCTGAGTAAAGGACGCACACTGCAGCCCCCCCCCCCCCCCAGGAAGAAGGGCATGCGCCCCCCCCCACCCCCCCCCCCCCCACTTTTGTCTGCTGAACATGCAGCTTCTTAACCACCTGGTCTGCCCTTTGAATGCAGCTGTGAAAAAAGAAAACTGATCAGAGCCACCTGATAGCTTTGGAAGGAACGCAGGTGAGATACAATGCAGTGGCTGGGCTCACTTGTCCTGCCCAGCAACCCTGTGTGGCTGCCACAGTTCACAGTTCGTTCCATCCATCCATCCATCCATCCATCCATCCATCCATCCTGCCTGTGTACCTGACAATCAGGCCCAGAGTAGCGCTTCCTCCTTCCCACCTTCTCATTCCTTCTCAGACACAAGGAGACAACAGAAAGGTGTCCAAGGGCACCCCGGAGCCTGCAACTACTTCATTACCTCTCTCTGATTGTGGCAGACCAGACCAGACCAAACCACCCGAGGCATCACAGGGTGAGGACTGTATCCTGTCTGTATCAGACTGAATGGCGGTGATTCAGCCAGTTCTAGCTGCTAGCCAGAAAAGGGAGATCAAGGTATTTGATGGAGTATGTCAACGAATATGTCCGTGCCCATTTCCATGCCTTGCGCTATTTACCTCTCAACAGACTCAATTTCAGCTTGCCACCAGGGCTTCAACAAAGGACAAATGCATCCCAAATCCACTAGCACAACCTTCGTATAAACAGAATGAAACAAGGTTTGAGTGAAGTGGCAGGTGAAGGAGGGAAAAGTTATTTCAAGGCATGTTGTTTTGTTCATGCACGAATGGCCATTTAGGGATGTGTGTATGGAATGCATGTTTAACAGGCCGGGATGACGACATGAGGGCACAAGCCAGTCAGCTACAGACGCCACCAACTTCAGCTTGAACATTCAAAGTAGCCTCTCACACCCTTTGCAACCCATCATGGGTTATTTGTGACTCATCCAAAAGAGGACACCAGAGATCACTGGTTTGAGTAACCTTTGCACATGCTGACTTCTATGTATATATGCAAATCCAGGAAGAATCTGGGTAATTCCAGGAGAAAGAGCATCTTACCACAATGTGGAAGGGGCAACTGTGGCCGGGCGACTGTGGTGCCTTGCTCAGCCACTGGTCCAAGCGCTGTTGATGGGCAACATCAAGTATCTTCTGATGGGCCTTTCCACCGGCCAAGGCAGTCCCTTCTAAAGGAGAACACGTGGCCACCATAAGAACAATACCAGGGCTTTCTCTTGTTCCCCCGTCCTTTGTTTCAGGGCTAATGGGATCCTTCGGCAGGCTGTCTGCTGCATGTCACATCATGTCTGCACCATTGTGACATCACAACTGCCCGTGCTGTTGCTGTGGCTACCCCAAGCGCCACCCCCCCACATCTCAGCTGTCCCCCTTGGGCAATGGCTCTGACCCACCGCTGGAGGTTTAGCTGGCAGTGGCTGAATGACAACCAAGCAACGCCATCCCCTCAAGGTGTTTTCTAGTGCCCAAAGGACAACATTCTGCTCTGTTTATATGGAGGACTGGTTTTCTTCACAGCCCTGGCTGTATTCTTGCTGTTTGCACCCATGCACAGAGCTTGCCTGAAGCATGAATGTGGCAAGCTCTTCCGTTGGAAGGAATTGTGGTCCGGGCTCTGTATACACTGCTGGATTTCAAAGTAAGTTTGACAAGAACTCAAATGAATTCAGCAGCCCTCCACAACTGGTAGCACTTAAATATGTGCTACACCATGCAGTTTTCATAATAATGTGAAACTTTCTGGTCCAAATAGGCCCAGACAGCAGCTGACAATAAAAGCACTAAAATATAATTAAAGCAAAGCGCCAAGGAACCAGGAAGGAGTAATCAGGAAGAACACAGGTGCGCCTTGACAATACCTGTAGGAAAAATAATTTGGTCAAACCCTTGCTCTACAGTAGAGGCAGCCTGCAACTTCGCGGTGTGTTCAGCTTCAATTGCCCTTGCAGAATTCAAATGCAGCTGTAACATGGCTCCTTGCAGATCTTACTTTGATTTTTATCTCACTGTATCGCAAGACTTGGAGAACAGTAAAGCACCGACTGCAAAGTGTGCATGCAACTTAGAACATTGGCAACTCACATAAAATGTATGTATGCTTTATGTGCACAGTATAACCTATAGACAGCTTTCATCTGATCAGTTCTTAACAGGCAGTTGGGTCTTTTTCTATAGGGTTCTAAATGTTGACTGGAACCCGTCTTCCACTACAGCTTGTAAGGTATCATGCAGGAAAGAACTTTTCAGCACAACAGGTATAGGGAACAGGCATTCAAAGCATCCAATGAGGGATCAGGGCATGGTTAGCTTTTAAGAAATGACATTTCAAAACCCTTTTAGGTATTCTGACACTGTAATATAGTGTAAACCCTTAAAATTTACATCACTCAGTGTAGAAATTTAATTTGGTTTTCAAATGAAGGCAGGGAATGTGAAAATTCTACTTTGTATATGGTAAAAGCTTGAGTTACAAACTATGATCAATTGCAGTGATATCAGCATTAGCTTCATAGATTGTTGCCAGTGGAAGCCATTCTGTTTGTGGAGCCAGGACGGGGTCAGCCCCTTCACCTAGTAACCCCCTCAGGCCCTGCAAAGTTTTCTCTGTAGCAAGCAGCACGGAGGGCTACAAGGGGAGAGGAAAATGTCCCTCTGGGCTCATAGACTTCCACTACTGTGACCTTGGCTTTAATTCTATGCAGGGCACCTTCTATGCATGCTTGTACCCTTCCTTCTGCAGGTGGGGTTGACCAGATCAGAGTCTGGCCTAATGGGATAAATTGAAGTCCATAATGGCTGTTGAGGATGTTGAATAGGTTCAGTAGAAAAAGACTCATGGTGAACCTGCATCTATGCCTGCTTTGGGTCTTTTACCAGAGACAAACCACAGAAAGAAGCTAGTTCCTCACAGCCTGCTCGCATGTTGTAGGGTTAACAACTGCCCCCTACTGAATTCCAAAGTTGCGTTGCTTTCTGTCGTAAAGTCGCCCCTATCCCGTTTGCTCCCACAACCCATTCCAGGAGCTCAGGACAAGTAGTCATAGCTTTGGAAAACACTTTAAATAGTAGTGTTTTGGAATATGGTGCATCAGGTCAACTTGAAAGATCAGCAGACTTAGTGCCCTCGTTGATATAGTTATAGACACTATGATTGCTGTCTTGAAAAATGTTTAATGATCACTTTCTGTGGACTACAGCCAATGTATTTTGATGTTCTGCAGACAAACTTTAACATACATTTGTGCTACACGTATGGGAGATCTCAATATAACCATTTGGTAGTGGTTCTATTAAGATATTATCCTATCTTGTTTCAGTATAATCCCTTGAAGCAAAACTGCTGCAACTTTGACTGCAATGGGATTTTCATTAAATCATTCATCTGCACTGCCTTCCAAAGCACCATATCCAAAAGAGGAAAATAAAAAACCCATCATACTTCAGCATTCTTCATAAACTCATAAAAAAAACCCAGTTTTCCTCAGTCTGAAGTATCTGCCAGACTTCTTGTAATAGTTTATTACAGTTAGTTGATGATAATTGGTGCATCGTATACCATGGTCTGTTTCTTGCCTTTAAGAAGCAAAGGCACTTGCAGTATTTCATAGAGCAAACTGTTTCTGCTCCCTGAGCCCAAGAAAACAGACTGCTTTAAGATAGATCTGTTCATAACTCCCTGTATGGAGGATGCCTAGTTTAGGCAGCAATTGCATTTCCCGTGGTTAAACAAGCTTAGCATGGCAAAATTTTGTAGTATTAATTTTTAAAATGTATTCCTTTAAACAGCCATGTGTGTATATTTGGGGATCCTGACTAAGGATCCTATGATATGCAATAAAACTCAGCGTATGGTGCTATTATCTGAGGTACAATTGTCAAAAGATGAAGTACCCCAAATAATAGCTGTTTTGCTTTTTCAGTAAAAAAATCACTCAGAGGCAAACCCGCTATCTCCGGGGATATGTGAGCACATATACACACACGGTTAAGCCATTTAACCACCCAATGGTAGCTACTCTGAATCGCAAAATACTTTTAAAAAACCCATTGGCTAAATTATATGAACTGCTTATTTGTTCAGGGCCCCTTTACATACCTTGGAGAATTCAAAAGACAACAGCACAGTTGGAGAATATTGTGCTCAGTGAAGTATGTTAAAATGAGATGAATGTCAGTTTATATAGTATGTCCAATTACTTTTATGAATATTTCCTTTTTTAGTGCCATTATAGCTACAGACAGGCTATTAGGGCTGTAATTAACATTCACTATTGGATAGCTTTATCTTTTTGCCTTGTTGTTAGAGTGAGGCCAACATACGGTTTACTCTGCAGTTTTAGCCCAGGGGATCCACCCAGCAGATTGGAGAGTTTACGAAATTAGCTAAGCCTAAAATAGTTTCTTTATTTCACAGAGGTCAAGGAAGCATCGTGTATAATTCTAAAAACACACTTGAAAAAATATAGATAAGAACTAAAACTGAAATAGTTTGTTGGGTCAGGCTGCATTGACTGGGAAAACTGGGATACTTTAACATGCAAAAAGCTTTGCTTGTCCAGCACAGTCAAGTGTGCCAAGAAGAAATCACCATTTCGGACCTTCCTGTTCCCTCTTTCTTGGAGACTAGTACAGCAATAACTCCTGTAACGCATATGAAAGTTTATTGTCTAATAACCTATTCATACCACAGTATACAATATTCAAGTTTAACCATTTGTTGACAGGTTTTAGAATGACAAACAATACACATGCTAGCAGCAAACCCAATGTCTACTTGGTTATCAACAGGCATTTCAGGCTAAATTGCTCACTTAGCTTGAGGAATACATAAAAATACATTAATCCCTAATGTAATTTAAAAATGTAAACAGACTAAAGGTTAAAACACACGTGTGCAAACAGAAGTTAAAACAGAGTACCCATGCCAGGAGGTTAGTTATAGTTTATAGCTATAAAAAGTCACTTCATTCGTTCCAAGTTTCAAGGCAGTTCCCCTACACAGCTAATGTGGTTTCCTCTCTTCTTCATTTAGTGAGACCAAAGGGGCATATTGACCCTAAGCAAACCCCAGAGAACTCTCTCACATCCCCTCAGACAAGTGCACTTTTTAATGGAGTTAACCTTTCTCATGTTCTGTCATCCAGTAATAAGCCATGGAAGGACATGATTATGGGAGACGGGCATGCATATGTAACTCATCCCGTAAAAGCTCAATCAAAACGAGGTGCGTGCATGCGTGCATGTGTGTGAGTGTATACACCTTTGATTCAGTAGGGAAATTTCAATATTATCACGGATCATTTTTATCCCATCCTTCCTCCCATCAGTCTACCGTGATGTAACTTAAAATCCCATTTCATCCTCACAAATAGGCTCGTGCAGATGGACTGGGAGGAGATTATTGGTCTTAAAGTTGTCCAGTGAGCTTTGTGGACTAGGATTAGTTTGAATGATCCTAGATCTTTTGCACATGAGTAAAATCTTTCCCAGAACTAATTACAGTGAGGCCATACTCACTCTAAGTTTGAACTACAGGTATTAGCTTTTTAGAAAAGCAAGTGGCAAAGAAATTATGAGATAAACCTAAAGGACCCTGGTTGGCAAACATACAAAGGGAGAAAAATACCCTCTCTCTCTTCTAGGTAAAACTATATCACAATTTTTCAATTTGTATGTGACTCCTGGTAATTAAGTGCTTTGTTTTCTGTTCTGTTCTCCATGATGCTTTGAGAACCATACACGAACTTCAGACTATCCTTCCCCTTGCACTCTTGGTGCTGCTGAAAGGATACAGAAACCTTATTGTAGCTGCAGCAGAGATAACAAAGATGCACGAGAAGCTCCAGGAAAGGAAATTCTTGCAGCCATACTACCTAGCACTTTGAGGGTCAGCAGTAAGACCTGCAACAGCACCTGGACACACCTCGTCCTGAGTGACGAACACAAAAGTTGTCCTTTACAGTCTTAAAGGTGTGTGAGCAATCAGGCAGAACTGAGTCCCACTGCAGCCTAAATTATTTGAAGGAACACTGAAGGCACAACCCAGGCTGGACATCCATTTTCCCCTGTTAATACTACCACTTGAGTTTTCCTCTGGTAATATTTCAGAACCAAACTACACATGCTGTTATAGAAAAGTTTGCCCCCTCAAGTTTTAAAGTTGAGTAGTGGTGTAATTTAAAGCCTCCCCCTAGAAGTCCCTACCAACTAGATTTACTTCTGGTTTTGGGAGTCCAGCTAGGAGGTAACATAACTCAGGATCAAATGGACCGGGTTCAGATAACGCAGTCACCCATCTTTCAACAGCAGCTCACAGATGGCCAACAGATTTCATCCATCCTATACTCAGCCTGGTGTAGGTTTCTGTGGACAGTTGTTCAACTATGTTATTATTGAAACATGGGATATAGTGTTGTCTGAGCCCAGCTGAAGTAACAAACCATGGTCACACTTCACAGGTTGTTTGTGGTTAACAAGCCATGGCTTGTTAGTGCAGTCAGGTTCAGAGAACACCATAACCCACATTTCAGCAATAATCTACAGTTCAGGGACAACCTGCACTCGATTGTTGAGTGTGTGTTACTGTGTTGCCAGAGCTCAGTCACTGTGAGCTTAGGAGTGACAAGGACAGGCAAAGTTCGGGACCTCCCATCATCCTGTGTAGCTCTTTATATTACACACTGTACCTCATCCTGCCCATATGGATGCTGCAGACACTTGTAACCTGGGTCCTGCATGCGTCTCAGAAACTAATCAAGCGTCAGGAATTTCAGTGAAACTTGTGGTACTATTGCAAGATCACGGTTTTGTTTAAATTGTGCCGGACTGCACCAGATTGTTCCCCGACTATATAATGGGGCTGGCTGCTTCATTATCAAAATGTGTACACGAGTGTCTCAGAAGCTACTGCTTGGATGGAGACGGTGCACTTGTTCAGCCACGTAAGAAGAATACAGCCTCCCCTCCACCTCCCATTCAGCTGTGTTTTGACATTCTGGCAATACAGTAAAAAGCAACCATGATCCCTCTGCCCCCTACACAGGGTTTTTTCTACCATTTCTGAATGTAGGCTGCACATAGATAGGTCCCCTGATGGGAAGATTCAATAGTTTGACTATGTGGATGAAAATACAATATAATTAACTTCAGAGGATAAACTCTGTGGCTAAGAGCTGCCTTACAAGTTCAGTCGGAGTTGCAAATGCTTTAGAACTGCATTTGCTAAAGCAAGGCTTCCTCTATGGACATATTTCATGGAGATTCACTGCGCTATTGCGGCTTGCTAATCAAATAAAGATGTAGGAATTTGGAATGCTTTGCACATTGCTAATCTGTAGTTCAAGGCATGGAATAAAAGCAAATATCAATAAGCTCAGCATATTCCGGAGAGTCTTAAAATTGAGAAGATTGCTTAATTGGCACTCCCTACTGCTAACAGAAATATGCCAATTAAAAGGATTCTACTATACTCATTAAGGGATTAGAGAGCATTAATGTCATGCTAACCCTCTGCTACATTATCTTTATTCTGCTCTGTAAGAATACTTTAAAAAAGCAGGTGAACATGAGATCACAGTTCCTCCAGTTCCTCCTAACAATATCATATACCTTGTACATTATAAATGGTATTTGGCATCATAAGAAACTAATACATAGACTAAAACCGTACCTGATCAAATTTCATTAAGACATTTTTCATATAGTAAAACTTGCATTCCAGGCAACATCACCCATATTTACTGCCCATGATTAGGAAACAAAAATGTAACATGTTGCCATTTCCTTGTAAAACCCAGACACTTGCCAGAGAAAACACCAGCATTGTATCCATGCCTGATCACCAGCAAGCAGAATGGAAATGATTGGCAGAGCGATTTCTCCTCCTGTGCGCCCACCAAATTTGCACCAGGGAGCTTCTGTGGCAGATTTGGGAAGCATGAGCTGAGGAGGAGGGTGAGCGGAAGTCTACTCATACACTTATCTGGAATTAGGAATTTCAAACGGGCCAAAATAGTACCTTTAACAAAACACTTGTATGTTACCTGTCTCAATCAGTGCTCTGAAGAGGCTGCAATTTTATTTGAAAATATATATGGGCACTTCTTATAATCCAGTTCTGCAGGAATCTATTTTCCTGCAGATAAATGTGTCCTATTTTCTACTGTTGATTGTATAGATGGTTTCACATAAGGACAGACATTTATTCCCATACCACACCCTGACACTTAAGAATTAAGAATCCTGTTGCTGACCTTTAAGGATATGGGGGGAAATGTTTGCAGGCCAGAGCGGCATGTGGTGCCCTTGAACAGCCTGCCACTTGGCTCCACCCACCGCATCATGCATATGCAGCTACCACCTACGCAAAATTCCTGCTGCACAAAGGATATCAGGACAATGAACACATTATGTAAATTAGTCAGTTATTCTAAGAGGCTGAATAGGTAAATAAAAGTCCAGAAGTTTTTTTAAATGAAGGACTTGAAAACTATACCCAGGCTTAATTTAACGGGTAAGCTGAGGTACGGAATTTGGGAAGTCTTGGCACCCTAGGACCGCAGCGGAAGGCCCTGGAGGAACAGGAGTGACAAGTGCATAAATTTTGTGGCAGAGATCTCTGCAGGGCTCTCAGATCTCATCTGACATTGCTCAGTGCGCTTTGGAAGCCCTGTGGCAAAATCAACCCCAGCTGCATGGCACTGGAGCTGGACGAATGGGAGGGTTAGAACAAAGCGGCTGGATGGGGCAGCGGAACAGTAGCCAAGCCGGCCTGCAGGCATCTAACTTCCCCTGCTTAGGTGACTCGCGTTCAATGAGAGCGACAGCGGAGCATCTCAGATAAGACAAAGGTGGTGGCAGCCTGTGGATGGTCCCGCAAACTTTCATGGGCAAAGCCAACCAAGATGTGACTAATTCTGGTAAAAGAGTTAAGTACCTTGTTCAGTAACTAAGCAGAAAAATTCTTGTTCAAAACATTTTGGCAAATTTCAGACTGCACATTTGAAATGCAGGCTGGGGGAAAGGTAAGTGTTGAAGTACAACCATCTTATAAAAATGGTACAGTCACTTTGGAGTTGTTTTAAGGCTTTCCTTAGGATGTTCATTTTTAAAAGTCACAGATTTATACCTTGCTAAAGAATTTTTTTACAACAGTGGTAATGGCAAGCAGAACAGAATTTTTCAGGGTAGTGGTGGTCCCTATTTCCTATCATTTCTACTATCTTGAACTTTGACTGCATGTTGCAAAGAAATATTTGAAATACTTCAGGAAGTCTGGTGAAAGATTTTGGTTAGTGATAAAATTGTAAACATGGATAATGAAACATCCCCCCTGCCTCCTCGTTCTCTCACTCTGAAGAAACCCAAGCGTCGGTACAGCTGATGGGATCTGGGATCAGCCATCAGTCTCTCTGATCAATTTCTGCCTCAGTGCAGGGATGGGTTTGTCACCACAAGCAGCTTTTCTGGCTGAAGGGGCAGGGCCTTCCCTGTCAGCGGAGGTACCTTTTTGACAAGAAACTGGTTTGTGAGCAGCTGCCAGAGGTTGCTTGAAGAAAAGCACAGAAGATAAACAGGAATCAGGAGAATTCTTCCTACACAGGAGAGGAGAATTATTCCAGATGTTTTCCTTGCCCTGCTGATTTGATGTCTGCTTTGCTAAGGTATATGGCGACTTATCAGAGGGTGGAAGGGGTGCTCTCCTCTTTTTGCCCTTCCCTTCATGAAGGTTCACATCCTCCTCATTTGCTCCTGAAAGCCTGTTTTTCTCCACACGCATCTGGTGAGAACCATCAAATATTGCAGCCCACGAGGGAGGTGCGTCTTCTTCTTCTTCTTCTTCGCCAATTAGCAACCCCCCACTGGCTTCCTCAGTTTTTTGTTGCATGATGTTAATTACTGCTTCATGTTTTGCTGGGGAATCGATGCCTATCACATTTAAAAGACAACATGAAGTGCTTATTAAAGCGATTCTTAGTTACAACGGTGATCGCAATTTTTATATGTTGCACCCAAAAAATGCACACTTGCATGAAAAAAAAGAATTGTCAAAAGCAGTAGAAATTCTTCTGTTTCCACACAACTATACTATGGCAATCTGAGCAAGAAAAATGTATAGTATTATGAATACAGCTCATTATATTTTTACTGTCCAATTGTTAAGTGGAATACTTTACCTTGTAAAACCAGCAGCAGGAAGTTAAACTACTGTGAATTTTCATTAATGTTTTAATGCATTTGTATCACTGAGCAGGGAAAGGGAGAGACTATATTGAATGCCAATATTTCACATGAAGTTCCTTTCATTTTGATGAGCATAAATGTGGATTAGTCAGTTTCTTTACACATTATAACACAGCATCCAGACAGCACAATCCCAGTTCATGGTTGGCCGCTAATTTACTTTTTAGCCAATTCAAATATTAGACCCAATTCAAATATTGTTCTGCTTAGACTCCATAACGTATCAGTTCCTCCCCACACACCCGCCCAATATCCTCAGAAGCAAGGATAACCAATATGTATCTTCTAGTAAACAGATATAATATCTAGTTTCACCACAATGTTGCCCAGAGCAGTAAGGGAGCAATCACATGGCCCTTAGACAGCATCTTAAGGCCTGTGGGATATTTTGGATTCCCTGGGCCAAGCCTGGATACAGTGAGGAATCAGAGGGTCAGCCCTGTCTGCCTCTCAGACAGTATGGAAAGAACCTTGTTGGAACTTGATCCCAGAGAAGGGGGTGCTTTAGTGGGTGGGGAGGGAAGACCGGAGAGGCCAGGATGCAAGCTATTCTCGGGCTCCCTGGCCTCCTTTTCTCCCTTCTTGATGCATCCTAGTTCCACGGGCAGCAACAATGCACAGTGGGAAGCATGGGGAGATGAAGATCGCTTCTGCTGCTTTTCCCACCCAGCAGAGGATGCTCATAAGCTTCCAAGGGCCAAATCTTCCTCTTTGGTGCTTTCTTTGTGTTGGAAATTGCACTCAAACACTAAGCAATATGTACAGAGAAACATTCAGGTATTTATTGTTAAGAAGTTGGCATGTTTTAAAATCCTGGTCCATGTTTCTGGTCTTGTTGATATGTGCCATCTAGTCATCTCTGACATGTGGCGACCCCATGAATGAAAGCCCCCCCAAAATGTCCTGTCCATGACAGCACTGCTCAGCTCTTTTGCACACCAATGAAAAAGAGATTAGAAGTTTTCCAAAACCTGTCCTTTAGAGGGAGAACTGATGCTTTTCAGTCTCTAGTAAATGGCCCAGAGGTCCATGGCCAATCGAAATAGACAACAGAGGGATAGATGGGCCAACATCTATCCCACAGAAAACTCAGAGCTTCTATCCTGTGTGGAAACAAACTTTCTTAAGAGTCTAGCTTTTGAGGAGTGATGCTAAGATGGCACTAAAACTCCCTGGCCCCTGTGTGTGCAAGTGCGTGTATGTGTCGGTGTTTTCAGTAGTAAACCACTAGCCAATGTGAGTTCTGTTTATAAAAAGAGCAAACTTCTCTTGACAGCACAACAGCAAAGACAAAATGTTCACATACACAAAGGAGCTGGGTAAAAGGCACTTGGAATCTGGAACCATTAGGAACTCTCTTGAACCAACTGTTCAATGTTCATATGGTACACCTGCCTTGAAAGCACATTCTTTATGACCAGCTGTAATTCTTACAAAATGGGAAATTATTTTGTGGAAGACTGCTAAGAGCATCATTAGCATGTTATCACAGGCGTTTTGAAAACTTCAGTCAGAGTCCTATTATATCCACCAAATGCAATGATCAACACATTTGGCAAAACCACATGGGAGAGTTTCTGAGACTGTTACTGCTTTAGAATTCAGGGATGTGCATGTTTTCTTGAATGTTTATTACTATGAAAGGTCCCCACACAGAGATTTATAACATATTAAGGAGAAGCACAGGCTATTGCTCAGAGGCAGTTTTCTGTGTGCAAGGTCTCCTTTCCTTTAAACAAGGCGCATTTTTTAAAAATAATTTTTTTTCACTCGAAGTGGTATATTCCCCAACGTACTCTATCATGCAATATTGCTACATATACACTTTGGTTCTTAATCTGCCCTGAAAGTGTTTTAACAACTGGTCCTGTAAAATTATTCAACATTTTCATACCACTACTCCCACCAAAACATTCCCCCCATCCTCGTTTTCTAGCAGTTCCTTATTCGAATTCACAATGAATCTGATCAAAAGATGTGTTACATCAGTCATTAAACTTCAATTGCTTTTCTCTGTGATGCCCAAGAAAAGAAAGGTATTTGGACCCAGACAAAAGGAGCAAGCCTGCCTAAGCTGCATGGAAAAAAATGGGAGCTATGCAAGAGCAGAAATGGATGCAACCCCACAGAAATTATATATCGGGCTCAACAGGCTGTGTCCAGCATTGCTTTAAACACCCTGCTATCTACCACTTACTCATATCTTGGTAAACTGAAGTGGCCTCTTTTGTCAAGAACAATGGCTGTTTCCGTGGTGACATAATCTCAACTTTCATGAATTCTTCGCAACAGTGTTTCCATTGACCTGAAAAGAAATCAGAAAGCAATGAGGAGAACTCACAACACTCTGCTTTTAAAAATAATGCTAGAATTATATGCAGTTGCAAATTACTGCCAAATAATAGGCAGTTGTTCCCTAAGTACAGTATCTCAGCTTTTGCAGTCCCTCCAGATTATTTGCCAACCAACAGCTGAATGCTCAATAGTGCTACAATCTTGAGCAAAGAAAATGTCTTTAATGTCAACAGTGGTGAACTAAGCTCCGATTTCTGTTTTCCAATGCTAGATTTCAAATATTAATACTCACAGCATGACCAACTGCCCATCTTTACAAAGTATACCTTCGTGTTATTAGTCCGAGGCATTTCAGTTAGAGGTAAATATTCATTAATTTATTGTACGTCCCTGCAAGAGGTTGGAAGGTGGGGTAAAGGGAGGTGCCCCAGCCTGACCGGAAGCCTCTAAACAGCAGCCGATCTGGTTATGAGACTTATTTGTAAAACAAATTAAACCCTGACTTTATGCCACTCTGCTAATAAAAATTCATTGGGAAGGTTCCTTTCCGAGCCTCCAAAATATCAAGACCAAGAGCAGAAATGAAGGATCACATTATACATATTTTCCTGGTCCTTCCTCTGTAGAACATACTACATGTTGTGCTGTGTAAGAGAGGCCTTTCCCCATTCTGTCCTTGCAAATGAAAGCATTGCTATGCTGTGTCTGTTCATCATGTTCCATGCATTCTGTGAACATACATGGGAGATGGAACTACTTACTGAAATCATAGAAATGCTGCCAGAACGCTTCCATCCACTTATAAAAGTCTTCCTGGCTTTCAACTGCAAAAAGTTGATACATAGCTTCACCAGCCCCAGGACTGATAACAGAAAAGGTACTGTTTTTGTTCTGGGTGTTTTTATCCGCAGCGTGAATTCTGGTTTCCTAAACAGTATATAAAATAATGAAGTAATAAAATTACCTCTCTCTCCTTCCTTCTCTTGCTCACGTACACACATGAACTTTAATCAAATATAAAATCATAGACTGCTTGATCATTGTCATCCAGAGAGGTATTTAGTCCAAAGGTAACCATTTTCAAGGTTATCATACTGTCATAAATTCTACTTTACAGAAGTATAACTGAAATAAAGCAGTTTTGTATTGCATGAAGCACAGAGAAAGAACAGCTCATGTAAAGAAAGAACTAGATGCTGCTAAACAGAATTACTGATCAGTTGCTGAGCTTCATAAAATGGAGGCATGCTTCCTTTCCCATTGTTAAAAGAATGGGTCAAGGAAATGGACTCATTGGCCATTCTGCAATAGAGCTGATTACATCATATGGACCAACCTTCCAGCGAATCCAATACCATGTTCCCATCTGCTACACTGGCATGTCAAACTACTGTGTCCCCATGGGATGAACATTTTTAAGAACACTAAACAACACTATTGTTGTAAGCCGCCCCGAGGCTTCGGCGAATGGGGCGGCATAAAAATGTTTTAATAAATAAATAAAATAAATAATTTCAGTTTCATCCTCCCTGTCAGGACTCCAATCATACGTGATTACAGATAACAAGGTGATTTTTTAAAAAATCCTGACTCTGTCTAGAGAGGAACATACAGTAGAACCTCATTTGTATGATACGATTTTATGGAATTGATGCATCTCATCTCATATCTGGTCTTCCTCTTCTGCCTTCAACTTTTCCTGGCAAGAATGTGTTCTCCAGTAAATCTTGCCTTGTCATGATGTTCCTGAAGTAATACCGACTCAGTTTTGTCATTTTTGCTTCTAGAAAAAGTTCTGGTTTGATTTGACCTAGGATTCACTTGATCATCCTTCTGCCATCTTTACCGTCCACCTTTCACACCCACACATAGCGACCATACAATAGTGGGGATGAGTTTGGTCTTGGTCTCCAGTGACTCTATATTAACCACAGAATCATCGTTGGAAGAGGACAAAAGGCCACTGGGTCCAATTCCCTACTCGGTGCAGGAGTCCAGGTTAAACCACCCCACTCAGATGGCTGTCCAGTTGCATCTTGAATGTCTCTAGTGAGGGAGAGCCCATCACCTCCCAGGGTCATCGGTTCCGTTGTCATACTGCTCTAACAGTCGGGAAGTTCTTCCTGATGTTCAGCTGGAACCAGGCTTCCTGTAACTTGAACCCATTATTCTGTTACTGATCTTTTCTTGTTCCTTCACTGTTGCCCTTCCAAATTTTACACCTTTTTAAATATTTTTGGCTGCAGTCTCCATTTGAATTAACGACTGATACGAGGTATGCAAAATCTTTAAAAATCTCCATTTCTTAAATGTTACACATACAATGTTATGAGCATATACAATGTTAAAGTTGCATAATTCTTCTGTGGTCCATGGTTTTTTCAATTGTTCAGCTGCAGTCCTGCATTTGCACTTTCGTCTTCCGTGTTCATCAGGACTTATTCCAATGCACTGCTGCTTTGTCAGTAATATTGTATCCTCTGCATAAATTATTGATGTACCTGCCATGTATTTTCACTCCTGATCTTAATCCAGCTTTCATCATGACATGTTCTGCATAGACTTGAGGGAGACAAAATACATCTTGGTTTGATCCTTTTGCCTATAGAAAATGATTCTGTTTCTCCACGTTACGTCCCAAGAGCAGATTCTTGTCCACAGTACAGGCAACACATCAGGACAAATGCTGAGGTACACGCATCTTCTCCAGGACCATCCATACTGTCTCATGATCCGCAGTCACAGGCTTTGCTGTAGTCTATAAAGCATGAACAGATCTTCTGAAATTCTTTGGGATGCTCCAGTAGTCAACATACATTTGCAATATGATTTCAAATATGATTTGAATATGTGTCTCCTCTTTTTCTGAATCCAGCTTGAACATTAGGCATTTCTTACTCCATACTGGGTAAAAGCCTTTGTTGCAACACCATAAGCATCACTTTTTTTGCTGGGAAATTAGTGCAATGATCCTAGAGTTGCTGCACTTATTAACAGGACCATCTGGATACCAGATCATGATTTTTTGTTGATTTGTGTCCCAAATGTGCAGGAGGGATTCTGGTTTCATTCCTTTTTGCTATGTGCCACTATTTTGAAGGCTTCAGAGGAAAAAAAAAAAGAATCTGGAAGACTATCCTTTTGGCAAGCTGACCAGTAGACAATGTTCCCCCAACACTGGCTGTCAGAAGCCATTCAAAGAAGGAAGAAGGGGTTACCCCCCACAAGTTCTGAAAGTCCCCAAGATCTGTAGCTTGCCCCCTAAACAGCCATACAGCATTACTCAAGTAACCTTGATTTAGAAAATTAGCTATAAAACACTGCTCCAGTAAACAATGGGGTAAGTCATATATCATCTTATCTGCATGAGAGACACATTTGCTTGAATGACTTCTTTGCAACCAAATCGTATCTTGGGAAAAGCTGTTTATAGCCTAGAACCAGTTTATCCCAAGCTATTTCCTGCCGCATGAATCTGCCTTCGCTGAGGGTTTTTTGCCAGTCCCACTACTGTTGAAGGCAAGGCAGCTAAAACCCATAGTACGACCTTTCGTTGGTAGTGTCCCACCTTTTCTACATTTGCATTCTGGGAACTTGCCTGACAATGAGTCCTGTCCTTTCAGGACACAACAAAGACTTTATTTTTTCAGATTTTTTGATTTTTTTTTTTAAAAACAGCACATTTAATTGTACCTGGCTGTTTCACCATCCTTCTATGTTTTAATTAGGTCCTATATTTGTATTTGTACTGTTTAAAATGTTGAGTTGTAAGCTGCTTTGGATTTAAGAAAAGCACAGAAATATATGAATTAAACAATCAAGGAACCCCAATCACATGGGCTGAGGCTGATAATGTAGGTCCCAGACACAGAATCTGCACTGATTCTACGTATGGGCCGGACCTATGTGATTGGTTCTCGCATGCATACATTATTTCATATTCAGAGAAGCTTGTCCTCTATATACAAAAAGCAAGTCCTCTATGCAGTGTGTGGTACTTTTACATTCCATTAACAACCCACCTTGAAAAAGCTGCATTTATTCTGATTGATTAGTGTATGTTTTAGACCAATTAAGGATTAAACTGCAATCCCCATATATGCTTACATGTGCCCAGTATCCCACTGTTATCCATACCAATTCATCCACAATTGAATTTAACAGAACTACAATATCATTCTCTCAGGTCTTATTTGATTTTTCACTTTATTCAACAATTTCACTGAGCAAGGACTAAAAAGAAACTATTGTCTTGTTCAGCACAGGAAGAGAACCAGTAAACCCACCTCATCTATAAGCCCCAATCATGCTAGTTATATAGATAGGAAGCTTCTCTGTTCTTACTTAATCCTGTTTCACTTCAAACACACATCAACATTTTCCCTTTTCTACTGCATGTCAGCTCACACCAGCAAAGATTAAATATGTAACTATAAAAAGTAAGTTATATATATTGTCATGGGGGAAGAGCTCAAGGATTGACAGTCTTTGAAAAACTGCAAAATATCCTTAAGAGGGTACATTTTTAAACAGGCATTACTGGAGGAGCTGTTTGAAATACAAACACAGCTGTTTGTAGCATATCTGATGAATTTGCTCATTTAAATTTTTCATTCTAAAAATAGGAGATTAAGTAATTCATCCATAAATGCTGTGTCCTATTAATGCAGGTAACCATAGATACCAGTATAAAATTAAGTCAAATAGATTTACATTTGACAGGTTAGAACTTCAAGCAACCCAGTGACATAAGTTTATATAGTGTTTGCTCTGTATCTTAAGCCACAAAAGCTTTATAAAACAAAAGCGATTCTCCAGTAAGAGACATTTTATACCTCATTTGATTATTTAAGTGATAGAAGATGCTAACTTAGCAGTAATAGGCTGATATGTTTCCGAAGCACTAATACATTATGCAACAGATGGGATGTATCCAAGGAACCGCATATTAAGCATACTATTCAACATGCTCACCACCTCTCTAGCATAACACACACGTTTTAAGTGTGCTACCAAAGCCTGATAACCACAGGAGGCTGCACCTCTACCCAGTTCTCCGGCGCAATGCTGTCCCCCAGTACCGTGAGCTCTACTGATCAAATTAGTCCCTCGCAGACTTAACAAATACTTTGGTTTTGGTGGGGTGATGCCAGGCCTTTCAATTAAGTCTGGACTGAGGCTGCAGTTCTAAGCACACTTACTGAGGAGAAAACCACACTGAACACAGTGAGACTTACTTCTGAGTAAATGTGCACTAGATTGCACTGCATGGGATAGAACACTCCCTCAGTCCTGGTTACCAAACAACTCATTTACCCATTGGATTAAAAAAATTTTAAGATGTGCACCTATGGCTTAATTATCTGCACCGGTTTGCAGTCCCCAGAAGGATTTCATGGCACTGTGTTTCAAATGATGCCAACTCAATGCTGCAAGGCTGCTCTTTTTAGGCTCTGCTCAAACATCTGGCAGTGGGAGTTCTTTACGGCAACATCTTCCAGCACTGGAAAGTTTGGATTACATGCGGACCAAGTATGTAGTTCATTCCCACAATGATGTAGGAAGGAAGCATGTAATTGACCCTATCCATAGGGTTCCTGTGACCAAACAGTCTCTGCCAGATGCGTACAGGTAGATTTGTATGAAGCCTTCTAGCATCTTGCTGGCTGCTGCTGGTGTGCTATTTGGGTCAAAGACTAGCTTGTGAATTGAACAGTTTAGCGCATGGGATAAGGAGACAATCTTCTTCATTCTTCACTCAATTATCCTTTTTATGCAAATAGCTGAATAAAATTTCTGGAGGGTTTAATTTTTCAAAATGCACTACTGATCAAAACAGCCAAAATATATACCATTTGTACATCAAGGGTGGTTTTTTAAAAATCACCTTCACATGAGCTGCAGCAAAGCACAGCGCTTAACTGTTTAAAAGGGCTACAATTATTGACAACTGGAACAGAAGTAGAGTTTGATTGCCCATGCTTTCTGCCACTGGACATAATCTGAGCATAACTACTGGATATACTGTATTTATTTTAATGTGTTATTTTGTTATATATTATGCATTATTGTTTTCAGCCTCTGAAAAGCCTCTTATTGACCTCTGACTGACTGATGCTGTAGTTTAATAATAATCTACTGATAACAGGAAAAAGAAAGAATTTTATCGCACTTTGCAACTAGCTTTGGGTAGATCTAGAAAAAAAGAGAATTACACCTTTAAAAAAAACTAAAGAAGAAACCTAGCTGTGATCTATTTAGAGGTGTTATTCCAGAGGTGTTATAGTATAAAATTATGGTTTATTAAGCCAAGAATAAGCCCTGGGCATGCTCATTGCCCCCTTGCCTCTTTCCCTTTGTGGCAGCTTTATCACTTTAATTTTGGCCTCTTTAAACCAAAGTTCCTCTACTTTGGTTACAATAGGAAACTGTGCCGTAAGCACCAGAATCGAAGCACCAGAATCAGTGTGCAGGGGGAGTGAGGATGATGAGGGACATGCTGGCCTGACGTTCATTCAAACCTGAACAAACTATGGCTTATTAAATCAGGAATAGTGCCTCCAAACTGGCCCCATTTCTATTTGCAATTGGCTTGGAATATTATCATGTACCTCAAGCATATTTTCAAGGCTTGATGCATTATAAATTGTAGACTGGTTATGAGTTTCCCCATGTATTCTGAAGCACTAATATTTCTACTATTAATATTTTATAATACATGCCTCTAATCACACACTCTGTAGAATATACTTACATGTAAGCATAATGCAGAGCTTAGATGATCAGTCTGGAAACATGGGTAGGGGGTGCTGTTGCTATTTTGGCCACTGATTTGCTACTGCTCCAGGCAAATCACTTCATCCCCCCTCTTTATCTGGTTCCTTTAGGGTCATTTTACTTGCACCGTTCTTAAGTTCAACAGTTCTTCAGTTTAAGTGCTTAAGTTCAAAATTTACTAGGTTCCAGAAATGCAGTCTTCTTAGCCTCCCATACAATACTGCACTTAACATCCATAACCTGGAGGAAGTAGCCTATGGAAATCCCCATAACTCTAAGCACAAACAGCATTTAACAAACTAGGTGACCCATATGAAATGAACATCATCTTCAAGAGTTGCAAGATTTAGCTTCAGCTAACTAGGTCAAGTTACAGCTTACCTTGTTGACAGAAACAGTCAAAGTTGGTTCCACCCTAGCTTCTGTTTCTTCTGGGGTACAGTAGCAAAGCAGTTTGCCACCTCTTAACACACAGTATAGCCTCTGCCAGCTAGTCAGGTTCCCTACTGTTTGCTACAAGAAGATGAGCTATGGTCAGAAATCATGAGTATCAGTTTTCTTTTCCAATGACTAACATTTCTAGGGGAGGGGATAGTAAACACTTCATAATACACAGACGAAAGACCACTTTCTCAGCTAATCAGGCAATACAGTTGCTTTCAAAACAATGTTATGGCCCTTTCATAAAAAGTATTTAATATGTTTCAAATAAAAATTATGGCCCTTTGAAAACAAGATGTCATAATTAAAGATTTACCTGGCTAGTTTTTAATGCATCATTAATCTTAGCAACAACACAAATGATGCTCTATTACTATTTATGGCATGATTTTTTAAAAATTTACACTGCCAAGTCCTTTCCATTTCTTCTCCTGCCTTGTTTGCCTGCTCCAATGGCTATTCATATTGAATTTTGCTAGCTAGAAATTATTTATTATCCAGAAAACACACTGATAGATTAACAGTAATATTCCTTCAAGACACAAAGTTGGGATAACATAAAAAATGGAAAAGCAAGGAAGTGTAAAATTTGTAATTCCTGCTTGCAGTGGTGCACATTACTTGTTGCAACAAGTAACACTAAAAATGACAGACATCTTTGTAAATAGTCCCATAAAGCATTCATTAATTGAAAATCATATTAAGATTATTTAGACTAAAACCTATTTACTCAAGTTTCCTAGAGAGCCAAAGCTCCTTTGCAAAATAAAAAATAAAATAAAAAATCCTTCACTATGCAGGTGATGGGGCTGCTGCTGGGGCTAACTATATTACTAGGCATTACATAAATGCATGGAAACCTAAGTACTAGCAGTCTTTACTGAATGGTAAGTTAAGGGGACACAGGCTAGATTTCCAGTGTGCTAGAAAAAAAAAAGATGCATGTTTTGAAAGTGAGAGACTTGATTCATTTGTAGGTGGTAAAAAGAGGTGCAAAGTCATCTTGCATTTTGCAAAGGTGTTCCTTTTGCATAAGTTTCTGCTGGAGATACAGGCATCTTTCGCTCCAAGCTGAGCTTTGCACAAACTTTGTACTACTTTTGCAATTTAAAGCCTCTTAAGGTGCAATCTAATGGCCTCCTGATGTTGGCTGAATTATTCAGAATCAGTTATTCAGTTCCTCAGTCCCATAACCTTAGATCTGGGAGTTCAAATGTAGAGCCCCTATCCACTCAGAGCTGATGCAGAAAGAGCCGTGTTGGCTGCCTCTACAAGACCAGAAATCAGCCGTGGAGAGGGCAAAAGGAGCATGTTGGGAAAGCAGGGAGGAGCTTGTGCCATATCCAAAGGCATCCCAGCCTCCTTCTCTCACTTCATTTAGGAAGTGATGCGTCCTGCATGACATGTGGGTAAATCTGTATTCAGAGGTCCGTGTGCTTCCAGGAGCCTCACTCATTCCCTTAGTCTATTTGTCCTGCCTGAAATCAAAGATTCCTGCTTTCTAGACACTTGTCCCTTCTTAAGACTGCAACTCCATAGACACGTCTGGTCCCGTTTCATTCAAATTTATTTACTTTTGAGCCACTGACATGGTAACCATACAGCGTTAGGGGAGTGTTAATGCAGGCCGAAGGAGTGTTAATGCTTTCTTTTTTAAATCAATGCCAAAGCCAAGAATCCGAGGAATCCTAAATCGGCCCCTGCCCATGCTCCAAACGAACGGAAATTACACTAGCTTTGAGAATAATCTAATTGATTTCTCATTTTGGTGCAGGTGGGAAGAATGGCTTTGGACAGAACAGACTCTCCAAAATAAGAGTGCTCCATCATTTGGAGTTCTGGTCCATAGGACTGCACTGTAAATGAGCCTTTACTCTATAGCTGCTTTTATTACTGCCTAAAAACTGTTGCTTTGATTGCTTTTTGATGTACTGCTATTAGCATGGGAGCTGCTACTTTGTGCTGAGATTCCATTGCTAAGGTAAACATCTAAAAGCAGGTAACATGGGTATGGGAAATCATACAATTTTCCCGCACTTTACTGTTTCCCCTCCAAGGGTGTAGTTACTGGTTTGGACGAAGACATACAATTTGTTCTGCACTTTACAAAAAAGAAAAAAGCAAGGAGGCAATACACTTTCAACAGTATTTTTATAATAAGAATTATGCAGCTTCAACTTGAAATTGGTACTAGACATTACAAGACTATTTAGCAAAAACTTAACACTATATTTTAATTTTTTTACCTAACACATGATAGCAAAACTTAACACAAATGCTGTCTGTTCTTAAATATTCAGCAGCAGCTGTTACTAAATCTTATACTAAGCAGATATAAGGGAAAGAAGAGACATCCCTAAAATCAGTCTACACTCCTTTAATGCAGGGTGAAAAACCTTAGGCTGGTTCCAGCCTTCCAAGGTCCTCCAGAAGGTCACACACCCTTCCCCTGAGCCCAGCCCTTCTCCCCTGCCTGGTGATCCTGGTTTTGCACAGGCTTTCCTTCATTCTGAAAAGGTGAAATAAATGTCTGTCCAAAGGCTTAGTTACTGGCAATAAGAACTTTAAGCTAACGTATACTTTTTATTCTTATTTTGACTTTGGCCCTGCACACACTTGAACTCAAGAACTTCTCAAACTGAACTCAAAAACTGAATTCAGTCCTCAAGCTGAAAGTGTTAAATACCCCTGACATAAAGCTTAACTGGAATGTACTGGACTAGCAATAACTCTCAAACATATTTTGCTATGGCTGTTGTTAAAGGGGTTCATCTTTCAGTACATCCGAACTCCCAGATCCACTGGCTGGAAGGGTTCAAGAAAGGGCGGAGTAGCTCTGCCAGGGAGTGACATATCCAGAGACCCAGATGAAAGCAGATGAAAGCTTCAGTTATTGCTCTACCACCAGTAGTGTTCTGCTGGCAACTGGCAGTGCTAGATCCTGAAACAGGGTATTCAAGACCCCAAGCCTGGGCCTCTTACCTACACTCTCCTCAGATGTATGTAGGCATTTTCCCTGCCACTAATCTCAATGCAAGAGAAAAAAGAACTGAGAACAGCAGAGAACTCCATCCCCAAAACTGCCCTGATGACCTGCCAAGGGTGGGATGCCACAGAGGCTCTGCAGCAGATCTCCTCTTTTACCTCACTTCTGACTACTCTGCTTCTCACTTCTGACTACTCTGCATATGTATTGGTGTACCAAAGCAACAGTGTTCTTCAGACCAAGAAGAAAAGTCACCAGGGCTGTATACATTACATCAGCCAATAAAATATGTTGTTTAATAAATAAATAATTAAAAAATCAAAACATACCTGATGATTAAGAAATCCAGTCATCATATCCCTGGTCATGCAGGATGGCTGAGCAACCAAACGACAACACATGCTGCCATACAGTGGAATCCAAAAAGATGATTCCTCTACAAAGGAAGTCATAGAAATAACATATTGTTAGATTATCTGGTAAGAACGATTTTTGCCAAAAGCTGGCTTCAAGTCATGGAATAAGTTTGGAATTCTTTGACTCAAACCCTGTTTGGACAATTGGTCTTGTGACTCAAGAATTTACGTCAGGAAGAGATCTCTGTAACACATGATGACTGGAGGGAACCAAACAGTAACTGACCTCTTGGGCACCACAGGGTCCAAAATTTCAAGGACCAGTGGTCAAGTAACTAGACCATCCACCTACCTGACAAACCTACACACTCAAATCTATCTTCAGTTCTGAACCACAGTTTATTGTCTCATCTCTTGGCATTATCAAGAGAAATCATTGCCTCTTCGTACATTACCTTTACAAAATGGGTTCTTGTTCTTTTTCCCACACACGCAAAGGGCAGCTTGAGTGAAGTGTTAGTGTGCACAGTTATGCAGTTAGCCACCGCATGGAGAACTTGTCTGACCTATGCCACAGTAACCACCTCCACCACCAAAAGGGAAACAGTTATCTGCAGCCTGCGTAGTGCAATACATTAGAAGGGTACTACTATTCTATTCCACAGAGTAGAGTGCGGTTAAATGTATTCCCAATTGTTCCAAGACTGTGAGTCAAAATGCACATGGGTATATTAAATTTGCAATTAAACTGTCATCCAATATATATGACAACAGTTATTAGTGTTTGAAGAAACACAGAAACATGTTTCATCAAATGTAGATGTCTGATTCTAGATTTAAAAGTATTAGGGAAATTGGCATCCTCTGCCCCATGTACGATTTTGCTTGAACTATGTGTTCCAGCTTGCAGTCTTTATTCTCACTTGCCAAAGGCTGCAATTCTATGTCTACTTACTTGAGAATAAGCCCCATTGAGCAAAGTGGGGGTTATTTCTAAGTAAACATGTACAGGATAAGGGCTTGACAGACTACAAAAGCATTACAAATAACAGCATGGGGGGCACTATGGAACGAATTATGTTCTCCCAACTTGTCCAAGTTATTTCCTGTCAGATGCTGTTAATGTAGCAGAGAGAAAAGCTTCCTTAATACACTCTGCAGGGTTCTGCAGAACTTACAGTGAGAAAGAGGAAAGCCACTTCTGCTTACTAAGAAACCAAGGTGGAATATTCTATTCATTCATTGCCAGTGTATTCAGTATGAACTTACCGTTTCCCACAACAGTAAGGCTGTGGGTTTTGAAATTGTCCTCAACATTCTCCAGCCCCAAAGATGTATGTGCCAGCAAATTGTATTTTGCACCACTAGTGAGGACAGATAAAGTACGCTTATGTCAGTATTGTGAACAGATTAGCAAGTTCAGCATCAAAGTTCAGTTAATTCAAAGGCATTTTAGTTTTGTCCTTTGCTGTTTATAATGTCATCAAAAAGCGTTCAAAGAATTTATGTCAAAGCTAAGCTGCATATCTTTTTCTTCGTTCCTGTCTGGGGTAAGTGGCCTTCTTTCATAACAACTGAGAAAGCTCTGCTTCCTTGTCTGGTGGCCTGCTGCATTCTGGTTTCCTGATCACCAAACACTTCACATTAAAACAATCTTATATTCTATTCATGTTATCATAGCAGAGTGATCCTTTGGTCTCTGGACAGTATCTGGAGGGCCATAGGATGTTTTGGATTCACAGCTCTCAAGTCAGAAAAGATCTCCAACCTCCTTCCCTTGCAGCTGGTGTAGAAAGCAGCGCTCTAGCTGCTTCTCTGAAATGGTAAAAATGACTTGCGGGTGGGGGGGGGGGGGGTCTGAGCGGATATCTTTGTGGCACTCCGGCTCCCTTCCCTTCTCACCCAAAGCATTGCAGCTAGATGTCTGAAACTGGCGGTCTAAATGTTTTGCAGAACTGAAGGAATGGAAAGGTGAAGACTGCTTCCACATCCCTCCTATTCTGCATAGGATACCTGTAATCCTCCAAGTTTGGAAGTTCCCCAGTAGCCCCTTTGGATTGTGCCCTTAAGTGAATATTGACTATAATATGGGCTGCAGTCGCTGAATTATTTAACAAGGGAAGATCTGGTAACAGGATGAAGATAATATTGAGGCTTCCCCTTATCTGAGAAGACAGTGATTATAGCCAGCACTTTTCAACCACTGTTGCTTTAGGAGAGGGATGGAGTAATTTTCCCTTTTTCTGTTAAAAAACCCCTAATGCTTCCTGGCTCACCAACATCAAGGAGTCATTTATTATTTAAACTAAAACTAATCATTCAACTTTTGCAATGTATGAACTTCAGTTTCCTTAAATAAAGCTAATTTTGTAGTAGCAACCGAAGAAAGGGGTGATCTGGGAGTGCTCCTAGGGTGGCCACTGAACTCTGTCTTTGATCAAGCATCAATAAGACAGTTATTTTAAAAATTATACATCTTATGAGCTTTTCTTTTTTTAAGCATAAGCTATTTACACTTGGTAACCTAATCAACATGAAGCCTTCTTTTCTCATTATGTATCTTTACAGAGAGGCTATGGTATATTCATAGTACTTTGCAGCTTGTCCCAGCAACAGCTGAGCACACTCCACTTTCTCTGAACAGTTCAGTCACTTTTATTTGTACCTCTCTCCCCCATGCCAAGAGTTGTTATCATAGGATAATGATTACATTTATTTCACTCGTTACACAGGATAAATACCATTGCTGTGCAATTTCCATTAGCACACCAAGAGAAAAAGCTCAGAACAGCTGAAAGCAAGGTGTTGGTTATAAATCGATTCCAACCAAAAGATTTTCAATCACTAGACAAACATATAAAAGCCATCCGTAATTAAACATTTTTGTTCCATTTTAAATAGCTGCATTTTTTACAGATGAAAATCTTTTTGTGCTGAATGTTCAAGTTAGAGATCTTTACTATTTATAGTGCACAGTTTGCCAAAGAAAACAAACTACTTCACTATTGAAATGTTTCACAGTAACATTTTCCTTCTAAAACATGAGATTCTCTCTTTTTTTGGCTACTTTCAGTATCTCATTTCTAAAATTGTTATCAGTTGTCAGTTTCTTGGTCTTTTAAATCTTTATCATTTTTTCACATTTAACAGGCTAATTAGCAGTGCTAGCAATGTTTTCCCTAAATGTTTGAATTAGATTATTGCCTTAAATGGAAGTATCTTTGTAGAAACAGGGCAACCAAACTGGCTAAGGTTGGAACCGTATTTTGCATTGCCATAGCCCTTTTTATGAGCTGCATCTTTCAAAAATTTTGTACTGTCTATACACTAACATTCATAGTAGCTTTGGGGCTGTGTCTTCAGGGGAATGACAGTATGCTGTATCAGTACAGCTGATACAATGGCTCAACCAGTCCAGATAGTACCATCTGCTGCATATTTGGGAGTGGTACAGAGGTATTCCTGCTAAAAAAACAAAAAGCTGCATCAGAATACTCCCTTACTGTTGTACTGTCAAGAATTATTGTTTCATCCAACTAAGTTTCATAAATTTGTGGACATTTTGCAGAACTCTTCATTTAGCATATAATAGATCATATCAAAAATCACAAAGCATGATGTGGTTGGCATTGCACAATATTACATAACTATACTAGACTATCCTACTGAAAGCTTTTAAGACAGGGATGCCAGGATGTCATGCTATCATCATTGTCATTGGGGTACAACAAATGCTATCATCCTTAACCTTTTACAAGTATTTGGATTAAAAAATCTATGTAATATAACATAATATAAATTAAATCTATGTAATATAACATAAATCAAATTAAGCATACTTTAATTCCACCCCCCAAAAAATTCTGGTCAAATAGTTGTGGTATATTGGAACTAAAAATGACATGGAATTCTTCTTGTAAGCTTACAAATACAAGTAAAATAAACATGCTAAATTAGAGCTCTCTCTAGGGAATAAGAATACTTTCCAACTCAAACTGAAAATTTTGCTATGCAAATGACCTCAATATAATAACAGAAATAACAATGCAAAACTTTCCAATACAAACTGAAAATTTTCTGAAAAACACAGATCACTGGAGGTACAACATATCCTGGGCCTAAGACAGAGTAATAACATACAGTATGTACTGGTGTATAAGATGACCCTTGAAATTGGAAATAGTGAGGCAAAAATATGCCAGGTGAGAAATTTTCATCATACAGTAGGGCCCTCATATCTGCAGAGGATAGCTTTTGAGTCCCCCAATGATTGTCTGAAACTACAGGACCCCTGCAGAAGTGGGAAAACCATGAATATCTTAGGGACACCATTTGGGGACACCATGCTCTTTCATCTTGACATTAGTCAGTCTGACTGACATGTTTCGTCTCTCAGTGGATGCAAATACTATACAGATAGTTGCAGTTTTTTCCTCAAGTTATTTGCTGTTTTCTCCTAGAGATATACCCATATATACCAGCATATAAGAGTACCATTGAAACAGAAATGGCAAAGCAAAAACTGGAGGTCATCTTTTATGCTTGGCATATGACAAACTCTAGAAAAACAGTCCAAAATATCAACCTTGTCTTATACGCAAGTTGTCTTATACACTGATATATATGGTATTTTCCTAAGGGATAGGATTAGTTCATCTGAAAATAGTTCTTTGGCCTCCTAAGTCCCTACTCTTCCTGTTCTGGGGAGAGAGACCACAGGTGAGTGGCAGAGCATTACCTGCAGGCACTCCCAGGTGCAGTGCCTGGCACCTCCATGTAGAAGGATCAGGCAGCAGGTGACAGGACCAACTCCTGCCTGAGATCTGATATAAGACAGGTTTCCTATGCAGCTTTCTCAGCCTCATTACCTGATGAATGAGAAAACAGTCACGACAGGGAGCAACACTAGACTATCCAGGATACCTTCAGATGGCAGACAGGTCAAGAAGTGGCAGAGATTAATCCCTGTATCACTTCTAGACAAATCAGGCACAACTTGCCTGGGCAAATAGAAAACAGGCATCCTCTCACATTGCAAGACTGGGTCTCTGCCTCACCACCATAATTAGCAGTGGGAATGTTGGGTTTTTTTAGGAAGTAGTGTTTACAATGCCAATCTACAAACTTTATTGGAAGAATCCTTTGTCAGACACTTTAAAAAACCAACCCCACCTCTCCAAAAAGTCTGGAATTAAATTAGGGGATAATTTACTCACAGGACAATTGTGTCAGTGAGCAACAAGGATTCAAGGTTGCCATCATCTAATGTAGAATTCAGCTTCTTCCCAGTAGCTTTCCCAATTGAGGTTTTCAGTTTCTTAACAAGCTTCTTGGGTGTATTCACTATAGTTGAAAGTTCTTCAGTACAACAGCAGCTGTAAACTTCAACCTTTAGTTGGAAGTCTGGTCCAGCTTCCTCACTAGAAAGAATGGTTTCACAACTTTAGAAGAAGTACAATTGCTTAACTACTACAAAAAAATAAAGTAAAATTACGCCTACATAGTTATCTATGTGATGGATTAGCTGTTCTTCAGTGCAGGTCTCTAAATACAATTCAAATCAATACAATAAATTCTCCATATTAAAAGAATAGGAGAACCCACTCCCAAATCAAAAGAATTCAGTGGGTGGTGGGTAGATTGGACTTAGGAGATCCAGGTCTAGTTTCCCATTTGGCCATGGAGCTCATTGGGTGATTCTGGCCCAGTCACTGACTCTTGCCTCACTGGATTGTTATGAGGATAAAGCAGAAAAGAGGATAATATAAGCCATCTTGGTTTCCCTTTCAGGAAAAAAGAGGGATGTAAAGATAATAAATACATAAATAAAACAGATGATGAAATGTGCTAGAATGTCTGGGCATTTTTAAATTGCCCAATACTGAAAATACATCAACACTGACATTAGAAAAACTTATTTCGAGACAGTATTCTGAATAAGTAGATCTTCAACCCCAAAACCCTTCTCTCTTGTTACCATTTACCCAGCCTCAACTACATGGAGGAAGGCTTGTGATAATGAATGGTCTGGGCAGGCTCAGAATAGCCGTCCATCTCATATCAGATAAGACAAATAGCAAGTCATTTTTAACAGTTTAACTCCACATCTGAGACTGAAACTTTCAGAATAAGTTATTTTGTACAGTGGAAAATACAACAGTGGCTGTCTAAAAATATAACCATTGACAAGGTTCACATATTCACTGCAGCTCATCATAGCATATTTAAGTCATGAGGAATGGTTGCATCGAGGCGCTATCCTGAAAATTCAAACTGCAGTTGTGGTTTGAATATTTAAAATGACTGCCAGCACATGTCACAGTCCATCATGGCTGAATAATTGTATCTATCAAGATTCAACACAAGGGCTTTTGTCAATACAGTGCAGGATGCTACAGCTGTAGAATTAATTAAGTAATGATTAGAATAATACTTCCAGTAAATATGTGAAGTATGTGTTACATTTTAGTCTTCATAAAAAAGACATTTGGACACCTGTGCATATTTAATCTACATTGATATGCCTGTATGTACATGCAATTACACCCAGGGTGCAAGCTTTAAACAAGTCAGAAGAAAGAAGAGAGTGTCAAAAATCCTCAGTAATGTCAGGTTCCTGTTGGTCGTTTATGCACATGGGCAAAACTTTGGCATGAAGTGCTGCCAAGGATCCTGTTCTAGCTTTGGCCAGACTTCTATCTTCTCAGTCATCCAGCAGTGCGCAGGATGTATTACTCTCCTGTGTTCCAAGTAGCATTCATAATGTTTGATTTGACAACACTTGATGTTTTAATTTTCCTATTTCATCTTTCATGCAATGAAAAGTGAATGGGGTAAGATGCCACAGATGGCTGTCACATTTTTAAAAATGAAAAAGCACTGTACTGATCCAGAGATACTTACAAGATGGTCACACTTTCAAAGCATATGTCTGTGACTGCTTTATCCACAATCACCAAGTCTGTATCAAAAACCTGAGTTCCAATCTTGAATAAGCAAAAAACAGAGTAACGCTGGGTTCCTGCAAAAAAGCCAAAAGAAATCATTTGAAAGATATGCTACTTAAAAGATATGTTAGGCCTCTTTCAAAAATATTTTCATATTTAAAAGATATAACATATAACATGTCTTTTAAATATGAATATATTTTTGAAAGAGGCCTAAGCAGCACAAGATGGATATGTTAGGGCACAATCTATTCTGTATCCTACACAGACTATCAGTCGTGTGTAGCTCTCTGTGTGCTAAAAAGGCCAGAAGAGGGAAATTTCACATGCGAGAACTCTATGCACAAGAGGAGAGGATTCATCAGGTAACTGTATTATGTCCTTAGTGTCTATGCAACTATAAATTCAGCAAAACTTCTACGTGGCTCATGAACTCAAAAGTTTACATAACCTTGCAAAAAGAATATAATAATTTAGCAATATCTATACTGCTGCATTACTAATACATTATATTTGCATCTTCAAAATTTATGAGAATAATTTTGTCCAAGTGGACTACATTTTTTAAAAAGAGAAAGCCATTAAAACACCTTGAGCACATATACTGTATTATGAATGCATAATGAAGGATTAGAGTATTTTGTTGTGCTGAGCCTCTCTGACCTTACAGAAATTCAAAGTTAAATCAATGGATGTGGGGAGTGGAGTGGGGAGACAGTTACAAAAGACTCAGTGTTAATCTCCATGACACAGCAAACTGCATGCATTTGCAAAGGCAAGCCAATAATCCATTCAAAAGAAAACAAACTTTTGTTTCGGCAGTACATTTCAGTGTTTGAACTGCCAGGACTAGTTTCAATATCTTCCTCTGATGTTTCAACACTCCTGTAGTCCAACATGTGGAAAGACTTACACACTTCTGCCACTCTACACTTTTTTCAAACAGCACATGTTAAGAACTGTATATTTCTAATAAGCCTATTTCAATTAATTGTAATCAACATCACCATGGTAAATCTTAGGTCACATAATATGTCAACTGAGAAGTAATTCTGCACAATGTTTTCTGCTGAACTACTAAGAAAGAGAGGGAACTTCCCTGCTTATTTTAACATAACCATTTAAAAAACAAACATACGTACTGTCTTTGCTGCTGAAGTGATCAGAGTCTTTCCACATCAATGGAATTCGGAGGTCTAAAGCAAACAGGAAAATAACTTTGGGAGATATGCTGTGGTCCCAATACAATTCAAAAATTCAAAATTGCTTTTCTTTTCATCCTTACCTGGAACTAAATCAGGCACACTCTATTGCAACAGACAGTCTAATCAATCAACATCAATTACACAGTTCCCTTTGGCAGCATTTTACAACAGTTAACTGACAAGACACTTGTGTTGAACAGAAGTTTAGAATCTTACATGAAACTAAAAATACTTAGAAGGGAACACTGATGTATTGAAGCTTAAGTCCATATTCAACCAAAAAGTGGTGTTAGCTTAGGAGCATATCCATTTAGAGACAAAATGCACAGATCAATTACAGCTATTTAATATATAAAATCCAAAGATCTGTTAAGGGTCCAAGGCCATCAGGAGCAGACAATACTGGGTGAAAAGGACCAATAGTCTGACTCAGTATAAAGATCCATAAACGCACTTGCAAGCCCTCTTTATTCTGGTGGGGCCCCTCAGCATCTCACAAACCTGATGCTGAACCATGGAGAAGACTGACACGCTGTGAGATGTCTTACTGTTTGGCAAGCATCTCCTCAGTCTGGGATAAGACCTAGACTGGATTCTCCTATTCCAAGCCTGAAAAGGGGTAGAAGAAATCTGACTTGTGCTGAGATGCAAAGCTGTGAGTTAGATCCAACAGCCTTGCAAATTTCTGCACAGCTCAGTGTCTGCAGTTCACAACTCGGAGAAGAGAGTAGATTTCTGAGACAACGGCAGTGGCTTAAAAGGCACAGGGGTACTTCTAAAATACAGTGTGACACCAAAGGGAAGGGGCAGGGTTGGTGGTAACAACAAATTTTGGCCTCCTAGCCAGGTCAGCTGAAGTTTGGGAACACATGTGAATGGCATTGCTTACTATATTGAAGGAAAACACCCCCCCCCCCACTATTTTGAAATCATGGGAGCATTTTGCATGGAATATTTTATTTATGCTTTGCCAACTAATAAGCAATATTATTTAAAGACCACAGCAAGCAGATACTACAAAACACTGTCATGTTGCATGGTTTTCATACACCTTTGGAAGAAAAATTGGGGTAAACTTGATTTTAAGATGAAGAGACACATCCAATAATCACAAAAAGAGTTGAGATGATACGTTTTATACTGCTAGTTAAAACTAAACCTGCAGTTTATTATATTCATTTGTTTCCATTTAAGAGTAAAAATCAAAGTAACTTGGCCTTAGAATGACAAACATACAGGGAAATGTGGGCTGGCAGAAGTGAACAGCTTTATGTCAAAAGAGATTAGGCCTCAGTCAAATTCATCAGCAGACTTCTTTGGCCTATAGAGCACATTATCGAAACCTCTTATTTCTGCAACGAATCCCTTTGCCAATGTATTCTCATGAGTCTCTGCTTCAAAGCTTCCTTAGCATTTAATTAGACAACAGGCTACCCTTTTCTTGGAGTCATATTAAGGTAACAAAAGCCCACGTTGAGGTAAGATTAAGATGAGGCTTAAACTAAACAGATAAAAGTGAGCAAATGTATAGATTTATCCTTTTTTTAAAGACTGATGGTTATTTTCTTTACAACTTCACATGAAAATCGCTGGGCAGGTTTTGTATTTCAGGCAGACAAGATTGTAAGTTAGGACTATTATTTATATAGTACCATCTTCCCTTTACGATTCCCTTCATGCCTTATATTGCCATTATTCTGCCCTTATTCAGTTTTCCTCGTAACTCTCTGATTGTTATTTGAATGTTTCTATAGATGGAATCAACCCTGACTGCTCTTTAGAAGGCCAGATACTGAAGATGAAACTCAAATACTTTGGCCACCTAATGAGAAGGAAGGACTCCCTGGAGAAGAGCCTAATGCTGGGAACAATAGATGGCAAAAGGAGAGGGGGACGGCAGAGGATGAGGTGGCTGGATGGAGTCACTGGGGCAGTGGGTGTGGGCTTGGGTGGACTCTGGGGGATGGCGGAGGACAGGAAGGCCTGGAGGAATGTTGTCCATGGGGTCGTGATGGGTTGGGCACGACTTTGCGACTAACTTAACATAACATAGATGGAAACTGACCTCCTCCTCCTTGATTTCTCAGCAGATCTTGATTCCACTGACTATGTCCTCCTAGACCAGTGATGGCAAACCTTTTAGAGACCAAGTGCCCAAACTGCAACCCAAAACCCACTTATGTATCGCAAAGTGCCAACACTACAATAAAACCTGAAAACTGAGGTTTTAGTTTAGAAAAAACAACTCAAAGCCAGTCCAAGCAAATCTATCTATCTATCTATCCTTGGCAGTGCACTGACTGGCCATGCGAAAGCTTAGATGAGTCGCAGCTAACGAGTCGTGGCTCGTGACACCATTGCCTGGCGCCGCTACTCCTTTCCGAGCATGCGCATGGCCCCTATGTGCACTGTTATCCGATGCTCGACTGCTGGGGCGGTGCTGAGGCGACTTGGCTCATGCGCTGACAGAGAGGACTCTGCGTGCCCACTGTGGCACGTGTGCCATAGGTTTGCCACCACTGTCCTAGTCTAACTCTGGGCAGTTGCAGCAAGAGGCTCGGTATTGCACTGGTTCCACTCTGACCGTAGAGTTGCTTCCAGGGAATGATTTTGGGAGATTGTGACTTGGTTCTTTGAGAAAAGGGCTGCGGGTAGAAAAGGATGCTAGCCTGTCACCAGGTTTTTTTACAAAATTATGTGAATTGTTGAATATGATCAGTAAGGGATTCTGGACCAGGTGCCACCAGGATGCAGATGACAGCCAACCAAATGAAACTGAAACCTAGTAAAATGAAGGCTCTGTGGGTGGGTAATTCCTTGGTTTGGGAGTTGAACAATATATCTGTTCTGAGTGGGCTTGCACTCTCCCTCAGGGGCAGATACACAGGCCTAGATTGCTTTAAGATTCTTCTCTGTCAGTGTAGGCCAAACGGGCCTTGTTGGCAAAGGGTGGATATTAGCAGTTTTGACTGCCATGACACCTATGATAATTCCTGGACAGGAATTTCCTGGCCACATGGATAACCTCAGCATCGAACAATGTAATGCACAAAATGTGGGGATCTCTTGAGATTGGTTCAGAAGACTCTTTCTATAATTGGCTGGAGAAACGGGACTTGGCGTAAATTTAGAGATGTTTTTCAAACTATGATAAATTAATTTGAATTTGATATTAGAATGTTAAAAAATACGTAGTAGGAGGCTGACTCAGTGAATCCAATGTTTGTTATGTTTGATTTTTTTTTTTTAGTGTTAGTTTAAAATTTTTAATTTTTATATAAATAGATAGATAGATAGATAGATAGATAGAGATTGGTTCAGAAGGTGCAACTAATGCAAAGTAGCCCAGTGGAGTTCCCTTTACTGCACTAGTGCTTCCTATGCTGAATGCTCTGTACTGGCACTATTGAGATAGAAACAACACATTTCAAGATGTTGCTATGGTTTATAAAGCACAAAACAGCTCAGGATCAGGGTACCTACTAAACAAACACCTGAGATAACACCTGTGTTATCCCATATAAACAGTCCTAGTCTATACATTATAGGGGAAGGCCTTGCTTTTCATATCATGGTAGACTTATGCTTTCCTGGTACAGAGAAGGACCTTTTCTATCATGGCACCTCTCATACAGAGTAATCTCACTGAGATCAGGTGAGCTCCTAATGTGAATTGTTTCCTCAGATAAATAAAACTGTTTATCTGAGTGTTTTCCTGACCACCTGCATTGCCAGATACCGTTTTTTGTTTTAGTGCATTGTTCTGCTGTTTTACTTATCAATTTTTTTATATTTTAATCATCATTTTACTTGGTGAACTACTTTGGATTTTTAATAAAATACTGAAAACTGGCTGTTAATTTTCTTGAAATGCATAATATTTTAATAACAACAACAATGCTCAGGCAAGTGTGCTTTACATTATGTTTGGGCCTTACTTTCAAGGACATGTGTTTAGACCTGAGGTACAGAAGCAATATTTGGAATGCAAGACTTTTTTTTTTTTTTTTGCCTTTATTGTACCAGAAATAATTATCCAAACTGGAGAAACACCTCTGTTTGGTTCTTAAGCAAAGTGACATATTTCAGTTAAAGGACCCAAAATGTAAAACCCTTTACTTTTTACAGGGTGATCACACGATTTAGGTGCCAAAGCTTTGACTATTAGCTTAAATATAATGAATTAATTTATTAATTTGGATTTGGTAACAGAGACACCCAAGTTCAGTCATTTCACAAAGGTATGAAGATGGAACAAACATTTCAGTGAAAAGACACTCTTTTACAATTTAGAGTAGAAGTTTGGCAAAATTTCTAGCATGCCTATGGTTTTGAACCATAGGCTTTCAGGAGAAGGAGAAGGAGAAAAAGGCATACCTGATATGGCAACTTTGCCTCTGCAAGCTACACGGTCTTTAGCTGCAAGATCTGAGCAACTAACAAAATAAAGCAAACGTTTTAATTAGTTAAAGTAATAAACTTCTATCTTCTTATATGAACTTTCCCTCCTTTTTTCAAGATAAACTTGCCTGGGCTTAGTTTAATGGGTGTTCAATTATGTTTTATAAGCATCCACATAAAAATATTGTAACTCTACCCGACTCATTAAAATGATACACGTTTTTGGTACTTTCTAGAACACTAGTAGTGCATTCATTACATTAAACACATTAAATAATAACAAACATTCCAGTGGATTTTGTTGGCTCGTTTCTGCAAGTCTTCTTGGAACAAAAGCAAACTTTACCAAAAACCAAACCACAGCTGTGCTCTCTCTAACTTCCTCTTTTCCAAAGACTTCTGTGCATATGAACTTCTTAAAAGATTGTGCCTTCCATGAGTTTTTCTAAGTATCCACCTTATTGTTGATAAAAATATATGTGGTTAGCTATTTCATAATTCATACTAGAAAGACCAAAATATTTGAACCTAGAAACACTGGGAGGTTAATAAGATCATTGCACTTTAATGTTTAAATCACACAGAGAGCTATACTGCTGTCTTTCAGCCCAGAGCTTGTAGGGGAGTGTGCTGGAATAGCTAAATGAGAGGAAATGGGAAATTGTCGTCACTCTCAGCTTTTGGTAAAAGAAATGGCCTAAAAGGTAAACAGTATGAAGAAGGTTCAATTTGTTTTATATATTTCTGCCATCCATTACGCCTTCCATACTGTTCAGAGCATCCACACACATGGCTGCTTGATATGTGCTGCCACATCATTACTGTAGCAACTCCTAGGAAATGTTATGGGGCATTGCTCCAAGGAAACCTGGTAATGTAGTTTTATGACCCGCCTAGAAATTTATGACAGAATTCTTAACACCTATATACAGCTGCAGTGCTCTGGTTTCATGGTAGAAACCATGACAGTTAAGCCACTCAATTTTTTCTACAACAGTGACTCAAAGATCTCACACTCTCAAAGACTCCACCTCTGCCCTTGATTTCTCGTATGCTTGAAGCACTTCAGTAGAAACCCTACACTGTGCAATCACTTCCCATTCATTCAGTCTCTCCTCAAAATCCATACTTTATAAAATATTTTTGCTAAACTGTGCCTACTGCTACAAAGGGCTTGAAGGATGTGCAATTGTATGTGATCACAGTCACGCCAAGGCATCTCTGCCTTTCCCTCCCTGTCCTCTTGTCTTACTGCACAATTTCAGACTGCAAGCTCATGGGGGCTGGGACCCGATGTGAGTTTCTTGGATATTTGGGCCTTATACTTCCATGTCCCATGAACACCCAAAGTACTATATACATAATAGTTGAGTCTGCAGAGACACTATTTCCCTCTACTGAGGAAAATCTATGCAAGCAGTTAGCAACTGTACTCACTTACATAGGAGAACTGATGCAAAACTGTGTATAGCCACATTGTTTAATTCTTCTAACTATAAATTACAGCTTCAAAATAGTCATTTAAAAACACTGCAAAGAAATTATTATGTACTGTCAAAAGTAATTAAGAAAAGTGAGTGATTGAAACTACAATGTAGTGCAATCACCTTCAAATAGAACTATTTAAAACCTAAACCGCTTTGGCTCTATAACAGGTATTTATTTTTCAGGCTCTGGGGTTGATGCAGTTAACAAAGCTGACCAGCAGATGGCACCAATTAATCATGTTTTTAGAAGAAAAATTGAAAAATGACAGATACTATAAATCTATGTTTTCCAATGCCTTCAAATGCTTAATGTGACCTCTCTTTACAAAGTCTGTAATGAGACTCAAAACAGTTCACAACTAAGCCAGCCCTAACAATATCCCATTGCTTACAAAAAACACTGTACCTCACCATCTATTCCCTCCCATGCTTCCTCATGAGAAGCCAGCAGTTCAGAACGGGGTGGCCAAACCGAGGCTCAGGAGCGGCATGGAGCTCTTGGAGTTTATTTTGTGGCTTGCCACTCGCAGCCATGGGCGCCCATCGGCACCCGTTTGCCACTCACTCCCTGCTGCCACTGCCTGTGGGTGCCTGCCTGTGGTTCTCAAACATCCGGCATTTACCCTGTGTGGCTCTTCCATTGAGCAAGCCTGGCTGCCCCTGGTGTAGATGAAGTTTTCCTGAGAGCACAGGCTAGGTTCCCCCACCCCTAAGTGCCTTCTGTACAGCTGGAGGTGAGCATAAGCCATAAGGGAAAGCAATTTCCTCATCAGGGGCTGTGCATTTCGTCCCTGTCCATACAGTTAAGAATTATCCCAGCTGCGTAGGAGCCTCTTTTAGGAGAAAGCATTGACATTTTAATCAGCTCAAACAAATCTGTTTCTCTCATAGTAGCAGCATTTGTGCATCTCCTTTAGCATTTGGAGCATCTGTGAACATTCTGTGGCATCACAGCAGTTTAGTCAGAAATATTTCCATATTTACCAAGAACGTTCAAAAGCCTGGGGGATTATATACAGATGTACAAGTTGTAATATAGTTAGTCTGTGCGGAAGTGCTAGCTATTATTGTAGTGACAAGCTTTGGATTTGTAAATGTTAAACATTTGAGGTATGCTTGCAAAAAACCTGAAATTACTGACTGCTCTGTAGTTCTGTTCATTGTTGACTCTTCTGTCTTCCTCAGCAGCTTTGTCCTGTAGGCCAGTATACGAGCATTGCAAACCATCAAGTTTTTAGTTGCATGCAATATTTGTTCTTTTTGTGTGCTCACAGCAAGTAATTTGCAAATTCCTTCTCGCATTCGCATTTCAAAATCAATTTTTTCTTGAATGCTGCAGTCCTAAAATCAAAACATAAGATTTTGTCAGATAAAGAAAAGATTGCAAAAATATAATAAAATGGCACTATCACACATAAAGTTTGTTTGAACTGTTTCATTAAGTGGGGGAGAATCAATGAATTTTATTAGATAATTGTAATAATTATGTCAGAAGTTGAACTTGTTGATATTGTAGCATTGGAAACTGCACATTTTTGTAAATATACAGTGAATGCTTTATATATGAATGCTAGTGAATGCAAATGTCCATCCTGAGAGAAGCAGAGGACTCTTTCCTCATGACATTTATTTATTTATATTTATTTCCTTATTGCTCCAAGGTCTTGCAGCCCTGGTGCTGGGACTCTAAACGCTGAGCCTCTGTTCCTCTCCCCTTGCAGCCTGTGCAAAAAGAACTGCACCAGCTCTCCCTGCTCTGCCCCCTGGAATAAATTAGCCCAGGAGAAGGAAAAGGGGAGTGCTGAGGGATGGGAAGGGGGAAGGCTGGGGCCAGTGGCTTATGCTGTTTCTAAACAGTATGCAGCTTCTTCCCCTTCCTTCTGCAGAGATCCATCTAGATGCCTGAAAATGGCCCTGTAGATGCAATGTAGGTTCATTGCATTTGCCACTGCCACATCACACACTGGCTGAATGTAAGCCATTTTATTTGGACACTTATGTGCAACCAGAGTGCATGGCACTGGATTGCACCCTCCATTATTTAAGATCTTTGTATACTACTTGATATCCTAAAATATTTAAGGGCACAGTCCAGTGGGTATGTTTGTAAGCCCTTGAACTTGGAGGATTACAGGCAACCTATGGAAGGCAGAAGGAGCTCAGAGGTGACCGCTGCTTCCACATTCACCCTCCCTGCAGCTCAGCTAGACAGCAGACTTTGGCCGTCCAGCTGAGTTACTCTGCATGGGGCAGGAAGGTGGCTGGGAAAACCCCAGGCCACACTGTACCCTGGCAACCCCAGTCTCTTCCCTTCTTTGCCTCACCCTATCTCCAGAGCTACTCTTAAGACCTTGAAGATGCAGCCAGCACAGTTCTTTCTGCACTGGCAGCAAGGTACAGAAAGGGTGGTCCAAGCATGGAGTTCCAGGTTCAAGAGTCTCTGTCCAGGGGACACAGAATTGCTCTGCAAGTGATTTACATAAAATGAATATAATACAAAGTAAAAACATATAATGCATTAAAAACATGACAACAAAAATAGTAACACAGGGCAATGTCATGGCCAATTACAAGTCAATGGAAGTCCAAGTAAACAGATGCATTGTCAAGACTCCTTTAGAGCTGGTCACAGTTTCCATTTCTCATACTGCTTGCAGGAGAGCATTCCAGAGTGTGGGTGCTACCACTGAGAAGGCCTGCTTACGTGCCATTACCTGGCAACACACAGTTGAACATGGGAGGACCAACAGGACCTCTTCTGAAGATCTCAGAGGTCCATTTACTTCCTACCTACATTTATATCTCACTTTTTCAGATGCAGTCTTTAAAGAGGCTGACAATATTTATAAAACACATCAAGAATCACATTCCCAAGAAATCAAACTGAGTAACACAACCAGTTCCACCTGGGCAGGAGCCAGCATTAGATTTTTCTTCCCAGAGGGCAGTTGATGCCAGATGGCCTGTGGGGGAGGCAGTCCAACTAGAACAAGCCTCCATTGTTCTCTTTTCCTGCTTCTGTCCTCCCACCCCCAGCTCCTCCCTTTATTCCTACAATGAAATAATCAATTTCTCAAGGCTTGTATTTGTTGGGGGGTGGGGGGAAGCTTCTGATTTCCCACATTTTTCCTAGAGAGATTATCTCTTTCAAAAAAATATTACATCTTAAGCAGCCCTTAGGCTCTAAACTAAAATGGGGTAACAACCAAGCTCATCTGAAACTCTTTATAGGGAACTCTTTATAGGCATAAAAATGCTTTAAATAAAATAAAATAAATACGTTGATAGACACCTTCTCTTTTTTATGTACGTCTCCTGCATTCTCCTTTCTGCCTTTTTCACCATCACTCTTTATTTTTCTTTTCTAATTATAGAGAGAATTACTAAATGCTGAAATAACAAGGCCATTTACTAAGAAAAAAATTGCTTTTTAAAACAGTGCTTCTTACATGAGATACCCAGTTGTGTGTCCTAACATATTAGCTTAAGACCAATGGTTTTTTTTTTCCGTATAGTCAATTCAAGAGACCCAGAAAGAGGCAGCCCTTTCTGACATTACTCCTCTAACACAAAAAGGCTCACATTCCCAAATTATTCATAACTGGAGGCTTTCTTTATGAAGTGGAAGAAGAGGCACACATCCAAATACCACATATACTTGCCCTGCTTCCCTTAACACAAGAAAGCCATCGTTGTTTGTTTTTGTAATGACACATACACTGGGTACATCTGTGACTCCCAAACTGCATGCTGCAACAGAGCCTCAAGTGCAGCTTAAAAAGTTAAGCTCCCGTGCTAAATATATTCAGCACTCTTTGCCCACTGGAACAAAGAAGCCTAGTTCAACATTAATCTCTCCTCTCTCTGTCAGTATAAAGCGGTGATATCATCATCACCATGAGGGAGAGAGTAAAGATAGCAGGATTTCGGGATACAGTCCAAGTTACAGTTGGCAGTCACTGCCAAGCTTTGAAATAAAAGGGACAAATCTTTAAAAGTGACTGGTCCCAGGGGTTCCCCTCCACAGAGCAGTTCCAGGGGTTATCAGGGAATGTAAGGTGAGGTGGTGGGAAATTGGCAAAGAGCACCTCTGTTTTGCCAGGGAAATGTTCCACTGGATCAGAAGCATTCCACAGGCACAAGATACGCTTGGATCTACAGATTCGAGAACCAAGCCAATGCAACACACGCAGCTTACAAGGGGCAGTGTTGAAAAGAAAGCCTGGGTTTGCACAGCATGACAGGCAATCCTGCGCAGTCTGCACTGTGCATGTTTTCAGGATGGATGTGCCTGAAAGATGATCAGGTCATCACTGTAACTCTCCTCCTGCCCACAATTTGCTTCCCTTTCAGTCCTCTGGACAGTATCTCAGGAAGCACTGAGGGAAGAACGAGGCCTCTCGGTTTGACCACCGAGATTACAAGCTGCATTCAGCTTGCACAGCTGTCAAGCAGTCTCTGCTTTGCAAACAGGGCTCATGCCCTGAAGCACAGCAGAGAGGATAAGAACTAGTCAGGCACTCTCCCCTCCTGCTTTGCCTGATCCACTCTGAGGCAAAAGGTTGGGAAACTAGGTGGGGAACTCTGGAGAAAGGAGCTGTACCCCCCTTCACAATGCCTGAGTAGAGCCCCTCCTGTGCATGGACAGTAGAGGCCAGAAGCAGCTGGGTGACAGCAGTGAGAGAGGTGCCCCTGATCCCCCCCCCCGCCCGCTTCTTACTCTGACTTGCCAAAGAGGCATTCAGGTGCTGCTTCAGGGAAACCTCTCTGGAAAACCAGAGCAAGAAAGGGTGGCGGCAGGCAAAACTCCTCAGCACAGCCTCCAACTCAGTACCGTGGCTGCCACCCAGCTGCTTCTTGCCCTGCTGCTCACACACTGCCCAGTGGATTCTTGCTGTGACAGGGGACTCAGATGAGCGACGCTGCTCTTCCCCCAGCACTGTCCACCTGATTCCCTGCTATTCACACAAAGACCTTTAGAGGAGGAGGGAAGGGCAGGGTGCCTCTGACAGTATCACCAATGGCAACTTGGCAGTGGTGCTGTCTCATCAGGTGCTCGGCAAAAGCAGTAACAGGCTCTCTGTGACAGTACCATGAGTATTCTGCAGATGCTCAGAGGTGCCCTCTTCCTTCTTTGACAACAGCTATTCCACTCAGCCACAGTGTGAACTTCTAAGGTGTGGTTAGCATCAGTTTGTCTTCTCTAACGCAGCTTTCCCCAACCTACTACCCTCCAGATGTTTCCATTGGCCACTCACAGCATTCTCAATAGGCCTCGCTTGGCTGGGAATGATGGGAACTGATGTCCAAAACATCTGGAGAGCACCTGGTTCAGGAAGGCTAAGACTAAGGGCATAGTCAGTTCCAGAGTAAAGCAACTGGAAATTCTGCACTAGAAGAGCTTGGGAAGCCCAAACATAATAGCATCTGACCATGAGAAACAAAACGTTGTTCTCTTATCTCCTCAGTGAAAGTAGAGCTTTGCTGACATTTTAGGACTGATAAAAAGATTGTTTACAAATTTATAACCTTTAATAAATTTACAAAAATATGGAATTAATGAAGACATTCACACAGAACATTCATAGGGGAATCATAGCTGTTATAACACTACATTATATACAAAGTAAGAACAGTTTCTTTTGAGCTTTTTTGGATGCAAACTTATCAATTAGATCATTAAAATCAGTAAGTCACAGTTTATCATTTTCTTTGCAAAGAATGCTTAGATCAGATCTTTGGACACTGTTGACCATAGATCATTTTTTATCCTTTCTAGCTTAGAGAATGATCTTTCACCTGTGTATGCTCCTGACTCTTATTTTTACAAATGAAATAAAATAAATGGTTTTTTTTTAATTGGCATGAGGCCGAACCACTCCTTGATTATGAGGCTCTGGACTGCAGCCCCCATGTAAATGGCACTTGGTGCAGTCCTGCGCAAATTTAAACAAAATAAAGGTCTACAACTCCCAGCATGCCCCAGCCAGCATAGTTGGCTGGGGCATGCTGGGAGTGGTAGGCCTTTCGTCCTGTCAACACTTGCATAGGATCGTGCCCCGTGGGGTCAGGATCCAGCCCGCCACCCCCGCCCGCAACTGAGGGCGCAGAGACGAGCACGAAAAGGCTCTGCCGAGCTCGTCGTGCGTCGGAGGCGGCCGCCCCGGGAGAAAGGCGCCGCTCCCCGCGGCCGAGCGGGACGACAAGCAGCTCCCTCCCGCCTGGGGACTCACCGGGTCCTTCGCCCGCCCTAGGTCGGCGCGGCCGCCGTCCCGACACCGCCTCATAGCCGCGCCTTGGCCGCGGCCGCCGCCTCAGGGCCGCCGCCGTTCAAACTTCCCGCGCCGCCTCCGGCGCCGCCCGCAGCGCGCGGCCCCAACGGCAGCCGCGGCCCCGCCCCCGCCTGCTCCTCCCCCGGCCGAGCCGCCCGGGCGGTGGAGCCTCCCGGCCGCGACGGGACGGATGGCGGGAGAGTCGCGGGGTGGCCCTGGCGGGAGGGCCGCTGGGCTGAAGAGCCCTCGGGCGCCTGGCCTGGGAACGACGCGGCGCGCCCGTTCAGAGCCCGGTCTCCCTCAGGTTGGGTCCGACCGGAGCGCGGGTCGAGTTTCAGTGCTCCGGGACATCGGTGAAGCGCCCCGAAGAACGAAGAGAGCAGGAATTAAAAAGCAGCGTAAAAACAATGCCAGGAGTTGAGAGGTTACGGCAGTCCGATGCATGCTTACGCTTAGCATCTCAACTTCTCCTGGGAGTGTTTCCTTAATGCTGCCTTATATATTTCTACTTTTTGGGGTGTTTTATTGGTCCAGCGTGACCCTCCTATTAGCGAGAATGAGCAGGTGCAGAAGGCAGCAAGGCGAGCCTCCTGGCTGTACCTCACCAACATGCTGGCTCCTTCCTGTCTTGCAAGATGCCACACAATTAGATCTGCCCTCCCCTCAAAAAATTCGGCTGTTACCACAGATAGGTGGATTAAAATCATTTTTAAAAAATCAACTTTGGCCCCTGAATTTGAGGTCCTACATCTGCACCATGCACTTTCCTGGAGATGTATCCTTGTAAACTTAATGAGCTGCATTGAGTAGACATATAAGAGTGTGTTGTGAAATATTTCAATTTCAGACAGGGGTGGGGAATTTTTTTCACCCATTGGCCACCGGGTCTCTGGGCAAGTACATGGGGCCACAACCCAAGTGGCCAGGGCTGTCCCACTGGTGGCGTGCATGGACATAACCATCACCCCTCTGCCACTGCAATCAGGCTTTTAAAAAGGAGTTGCAGTTTTGGGGAGCAGGGGCTTGCCCCTGGAAAGGTCTCTGCACACATGCCCCAAATAATATAGGAGTAAGGAGCAAAATCTCTTGATCAGCCAGCAGGGATGTAACCACAGCTTAGAGCAGCAGTTTTCAACCTTTTCACAGCTGGGAACTGGCAAAAACAGGAAAGCCACCTAGGGGACCACTGAGGCAGAAACAAAAAGCACTGAACACATAATACAGTATTCTGTGTATGAGTTTCCAAACACAATACCACCAAAATGAAAATTTTCCAAAGCATCCAGAAACTGAGCTACAAAAATTGCCAACAAAAGAACAAACTGCCGAAATCAGCACAGCTTGGCTCACAGCCAGCTCCCACGGAGCCATCTCCCCTCCCTGCTCCCCTGGCCGAACTGGCACACCCACCGCGAATGTGTTGCCAACCAAGGAAGAGGTGGGGGAGCACAGCCAGCCCCTGCCACGGACTGGCAGGAAATCGCCTGCAGACCAGCATCGGTCCCTGGACTGGTTGAAAACCAGTGTCCTACAGGAAGCTTCCTTCAGGCCCCTCAGACTCTTCCAGGAGTACACAAATACAAATGTGTGATGTGTCTAGTTTTACAAGTGCAATAATAATTTCTGTTTGTTGAGCGGCTGTTAAAAATAGTAAAGAACAGTAAGGAAAAACGTTGACAATTTCATCGGTGCGAGCTAACATACTGCCTTCATACTGAAGAGTTCAACATGGAGACCTCAAAAGCTTTCCAGTACTTTTAAGGCTGCAACCCTAACATACCATAATCCCTGATATTATTACTTATAATAATATTGAATTCAATGTGATTTACTTCCAAATACATATTCATAACAGAGTTCATTAAAGCCAGGATGACATAGAAAACTTACAGATATCACATACACTTACAGATGCATTAAGTGATTCCAATTATGAAAACAGTATATATACATTTTCCTAGCAAACGGACCCAGCTGTGCATAGGCCAGAATATACATTCATAAAGCCTTCAAGCAAACAGCTGTCAAGAGTTGGGTATGTTGTGTCTGACCCCTGTTGAGTGAAGCCACGCTGGTTGACACCACTAGGTACATCCCCTCCCTGATGTATTCCTAAAATTGGGGCAGGGCATTGCACAGTAAACCGTTTTGCTGTTGAGTTTTTCACCCCAGTCAAAGATACTGTGGTGTTAAATGTTGAAGTATGTGTATATAATAAAAATGATCCTGTGAAATGAAGTGATTCTGTGAAAAGGAAAAATGAATACAGTTAAGAAGACACTTTGTTAACTATATAACAAGCAAGAAATGGCACTGAAGAATAATAATTGCATACTTTTTGTCAGCAACACACACTTTTGAAAATTGTTTGGTATGTAAAATAAATAATTGTAGATAAATTGTAAGCATGCTTAGACCAAAAAAAAAAAAAAAAAAAAAGCCTACAACTCCCAGCATGCCCTAACCAGCTTAGTTGGCTAGGGCATTCTGGGAATTTCCTGTCTAAATTTGCATAGGATTGTACCCCCAGTCACTCACAATTAAATATTTGATCATGTTCAGGCAGATAAAAAAAGCTTTCTCATCACTGGTCTTGGCTGTGCTGATGTGAGGATAGGAAACCAGTACTTTTAATAACAGAACAAAAGATGGAATTTCAGTGGACACAGATTTTCTCACCTTTCTCCTTGACAAATACCGCTTGTCAAATGTCATTCTTTGCACAACTATTAAAAACATAAGAGCTTCATGCTCCATTGCATCTGTTCACCTTATACAAGGCCAATGCATCTGCCAGTAATCCCCCCATCCTCAATCCTAAACATTGTGCTTAAGTTCTGTTCAAAGAATGGGATGGCTAAAATAATTTATGTCCATTAAATACAGATAACTGGAGTTGGTTCAAGGCCATTATTTGATGTAAATTCCATACATCTCGATCAATGCAGCCTTCTTAATCTGGTGCCTGCCAGATTTGTTGGAGTATAACCACCACCATCCCCAGCAGGCATGGCCATTGTTGGCTGCAGATGATGGAATGATGGAAGTTAGCCCCACATCTGGAGGCACCAAGTTCAGGGCACCTGAATAAAACAATTCTCAACATTTTGAGAACTGGTTAGAAAAGATCAGCCATTTCATATGAGAGGAAATGTCAAGAGAAGAGAAACGGGCAAGCATAACTATGTGGGTATGATTGAAAATTTGTCAAAGAGAAGTCATAAATCATTACTAAAGATTTTTTTAATGATCACGACAGCCATATGTACATGGAAATTTATTTTCTCATTATTAATCCATCAGTACTCAATCAGGCAAACTTTCATTGCCTTGTATTTTCCCGAGGGTACATTTATCTGGAAGCTGTTGAGAAGCTGTCAGAAGATAGAAATACTATAGTGAAAACCAGTATTAAAATTAAAAAACCGTTTATTTTCTAGCTGAAAGGTTCCTGATTTCTGCATTTTTTTAAAATTTCATTTTATTTATTTATTTTTGCATCCTGCTACATTAAAGTGCCACAGGGCCATTCTTTTGCTACTGTTCTGATATTTGTAGTAAAAAAAGGTGCAATATGCACATTTTCCTCTGATTAGTGGTGGGAGTGTCATGGAGAGACAAAATAATCCCCCGAACTGAACATACAATGCCAGGTCTTATTAGAAGAATATTAACTGTGCTGTTGTATTTCAATTGCATGTTTACTCAGAAGTAACTCCTATGGAATTCAATGGGACTAACTTCCAGGTACATGTTTACAGAAGTGCAATCTATTACACATTTTCCCAAGTAAATGGATTTAGGATCAAGCTTTTAATTGTAAAAGTACACTGGTATATCTGAAGGGACGGCATGTTAGTTGTCCTATATTGAATAAAAACAATTGCCTGAATGATGCTGGTTTTGCTCTGTGCCATCAGGACATCTCTAACTTATGGTTACCCTATGAATGAATGCCCTCCATTTTGTATTGTCCTTGAGTGCCCTGCTCAGCTCTGATAAACCCAAGGTTGTGGCTTCTTTTATGGGGTCAATCTCATATTGGATCTTTCTCTACTTCTTCTGCCTTGGACGTCCGCTAGCATGGCTATTTTATGTATTTTGTTTAGAAATATATTTATGTATTGGAAGCCACCTCGAGGCTTATGCGAATGGGGTGGCATACAAGTAGTCCAAACAAACAAACAAATTTATTCCCCAGTGAAGCTTGCCTTTTCAGGATATGCCAAGGTATGACAACTTCAGTTTTGTCATTTTTGCATCTGGGGAAAGTTCTGGCTCGACTCACTTGTCCAGCTTAGTCTTCTTCATAATCTATTTGCACACATTTGCAAAAAGATTATACATACAGGTCTTCATTTGCATAGATACAACATAGCATAGCCTATTCAGAGACAGCATTAAATGAGTTAATGATGAAGCTAGTTACCTACAGGAACTCTTCACTCTAGTTTTCTGTCATTCCTCGTACTTGTCTTCCTGAGCTGGAGCTGTTCAAAGTGCTGACTAGGTCAGGAACTGGCAATCCTAGGAATGTGAACATTAATAGCAAAAAAGAGAAACATTTCAATATCCTTTTTAACGTTTCCCCCACCTCTGACCCTTGCATATCTTTTAGAACTGAGATGGTTTCTTATAATGTAACATATATATCCTGCTTCATTTCAAGGACTTAGGGTGGCTAATATTCATAATAAAATCCTAAATGCAAAATATTAAACCAGATCTTTGTCTTATTCCTCCCTATCTGTGATCACCAACAAGCATTTTGAATAATGGTGTGTTATACTAGTTCCAGAACATGGCCATGGTCAAGTTCTGCTGAATCTCCAGAGGAACAGAATCACAAAGTTGAAGGATACATACAAAAATGCCTTTACCCTTATGATCCTGGCTTAGTGCAGGATGAACGATCATTCTCAATTGATATTAGAGGTCATGTTGGAACATAGGGGTGGAAATAGGTCAAACTTTTAGTCTAAGTTCGGTCATGTCACTAACTGGGAGAATATTTT